TTGTTTTCTGCTCCATTTTGTCATTTCTCACGAAGTCGCTCAATTATTGTCGACTCATGTGTGGAAGTCTTACAGATTCCCCGGGAACATCATGACGGGCAAGAATCCGAAGTGTAGTATTGCGTTCTAGCTCGTCTTTAGATATGACCCATCTACGCATCAATTCAAATATACGAATTGAGAAGGACCCTGGATCACATTAGCAGAAAGAGCGTGCCTCCCGCACGCTTCTGCAGTAGTGGTAAATCTATGTCCACAAACATCGACTTGCTTGGCTTTAATTTTTTTCCTTGTGCTCAGTGGTTTATAATATCATAAAGTTGTCTACCTGCTCCTCTTCCGCTTCCCTGATCTACCATGAGGAGCCTTTCTCCAGTTCGGACCTGGACCTGGTGGTCGGGGGCCAGCAGCCATTAGTAGCAGCGGAAGAGTCTAGAGGACAGATGGCTAGTGCACTCCAAAGCACATGCGAAGCTGAGTAGAGAGAGGGTCGGAATTGTGAGAAGTGGGATCTTGACTGTGTGTTTTGCTCCTGAAGACTTGGCCTTTTTAGATATCAGAAGGCTTTTGTAGATGCACTGTCAGGTGCCCAGCTCGAGCATTTTGCAACCCTGTGACTAGGGTCATTTGTCGTCGTCTGGCAAACAAATGCTCCTCGTTGCTCTATCGCACCACCAAAATGTTGAAGATGCCACAGAGCTTACCAATATGGCATCTCAAAGAAGTTCTGAACCCCCCAAATTATTTTCTGGCTTTGCCACACATTCGAGTGACCTGCGTGGAGGCATTGGATCCGCAGGGAACCGTAGAACTGCTGGATTCTAGGACTCTTGAACTTCGCGAACACACTGGTGGGGGGGGCATGGTAGTGAATTGGGCTTAAGAGCGCTGACATAATTGGTTGACATGGGACAGTTATGATCTGCCTTGTCTGCGGAGGGAATCGCAACCCTTTCGATTAACGGGTGTATCCACCACACTCGATATTTCTTGCGTTCCTTGATATTAGTGCTTCCGCGGGGCATGCTCCGCTTGAAAGAGTCGTCTTTATCCAGGGATCTTTCCTGAAAAATTGCCGGCTGTTGCTGTTAAGGTGCTTTTCTACACTTAGATTTATGCATGTGCACTGTCAGGTTTTTGGTTCATGCAGTCTTCCACATGCCTTTTTACGAGCGTTGGAGCCGACTCTGCTGCCTGCTCCGGCTGTACATGCGTGCAGACCTTGCTCTCTGGAACGCGGTAGCACTGCCCGTTACACCTTTTACTTGTCTTGAAATCCTGTGTCATACTAGGATGCTCACGCATGCCAGCTCTCCAACAACAGCGAATTATGGTACTCGCGATCGTGCTAATTTGAGCCTTGTCCGCTGCTGCCTATTGTGTAAGTCTTTCTGTTCGTCCATTTCACTCCAGCGAATCACGAGCGCATTTGCTTTGTCCCCCTTGCACTAAGTTCGCTTGTTCCTAGCCTGAGGACTGGATAAGGCGGGACTTCGTAGATTGTTCTTCATTCAGTTGGTCTCGACATACTGGTACAGAACACGAGGGTGTGTGCATTGAAATGCTGAGGGAAGGTGGAGAGGGATACGCTACACTCAATAACTCCTTGCCGCACTAGTTCCATTAAATCAAGAAATAGAACGAAATGACTAGTTGGTTTGTCCGTCAGTAGATGGTACGTATTGCAGGGTACTGCTGCTTCAATAAAAGACACTGATCCTTGCGTGTGAGCAAGACGCTATGTGCAACTAGCTGTGAGTGCTTGGAGTCTAATGCACGCATGCGCGCCCCAACTCGCCCCCTTTTCTCGTCGGAAACTCTGAGAGCAGCGAATGTAGGGGACAAAGGGGCCTTTAGATCCACACAATAACTTTCCATCAGGCTTGCATTGAGTATGGAGCTAAGTTTCTCCTTACGGGGCCCTTCGATGGAACGTTCCACCTTTCTTCTCTTATGGACTTTCGCTGATTGTTGACATTAATATAAGCGTTTATGTGCATATCTACTTTTATATATATACACCCGCTTCTCACCTCGGCATGTGCACTCGCCTGCCTCTGGCTACCTTGAAAGTCTCGTCATCCTTTTCAGTACTGACGATTGTCAAGGCTGCATTGGAGGGCAGTGGCAAAGTTCGTGGCGTTTGCTTTGCGTATTCGTGGCGTGTAGCCGTCCCTGACGCTTGGGAAACCTCTTCTTTAGGTCACTGGAGTTCCAGTTTGGAAGTGTCTACAAGATGTAGCCTCAAGGCATACTAATGCTCATCACAGAGGGTGTGCGCCACAATTTTAACCTAAAAAGGGCAGATTCTGGGCAAGTTGGCGTAGTTTTCTCGTTGTGGATGAAAGGCACACCCACATCAGCGCTGAAGGACACAGTGCAAGCGCATTTACCATGCAATGCAGCACTTCATTCAGGATATATTCCTGAGTCTGCTTGCAGGAGAAGAAGATTTGAGCGAGGCGACCATAGGGGCGTGAGCTACTTGCTTCAGGAGAGTGTCACTTGGTCGTGTATAAAGTATCCTCCGCACAAGTGGATATAGCCCGGATGGAGACGAATCCTGACTGAAGTTACCAAACCACAAATTGAACGGGCTGGCTGCCCTGCCCAAAACATGCAAACACAACGAGAGATAATAAGCAGATGGGTCCTGTAGTCTCTCTCTCGTCGTTTCTATGTCTCTTAGAAACATCTCGGGCGCGGATCTCCTGCTAAGGTTGCATGCCAGTGTGGTGTATCCCTCACCCCTCGGGAGTAAGCTTCCATCTCCGGAAAAAGCTTGTGTGCCTCCATATCGTTTGCTGTCCTCTGCAAGGCTGTCGTGTCCTCTTTGTCACTCAGTGATTTTCGTCGAGGCGAAAACCGCCAGAGGCCTCCACGATGAAGCTGGTGAAGTGAAAGTTCTATCGGCAGGCAAGTGTACGTCTCGGCTGCATATCAACGAAAGGGAATCGAGGCCCCTGTACTCGACCAACCTGTTCGCCGGCTCTGCGAAATTCCCTGAAAGAGTTGCTGTGTGGTTTCCCGAAAAGGGCTATCACCCACCTTCCCCGTTTCTCGCCCCTCAGGGTGTCTGTAAGAGGGGAAAGGAAGAGGTAGCGTGCGGGAATGTTGCGCTGCATCCTCTATCCATTTCGAGCATTCCCAGCTACTGTGTTTGACTTGGAGCATCGATTGCTATTGTTTAGGGTCAATGCTAGTTACAACAAATAAGAGATATACGAACATGAAAACAATAATAGTTGATTCTTGCTCAATGCTCAACTAGATATAACTAGTGCATTGGACAAGGACCACGTACAGATTTGTCCGCTACCGTGCATGCCTGCTACATATATACTACCACCCACTATAATGGCATGTGCTAAGGAAGATAGTGAGGTGAGCGACATGGCGGCGCAAAGAGACTACCTCTAGAGCCTAGCCTTCTTTTGAGAAATGGCCTTGTGGGGGTGTATCAGAGTCACTTCCCCATCGACCTCCTGTGCTAAGGCTGAGCAGCCGTCTCCCAATGTAGAGAGGCGTGACTTGAATGAACACTTTCTGTTCTCGCGGTTGTATCTCATCTGCCTACCACATGAAACCCACTAAGCGCATTGAGCGCTTAAGAGACTTTTGCTCTTTTGTGGGAAGCGCCTCCGTAGACGCCAGAGGCAGGGCCCAAATGCAATCATCTTGCTTTATGCGAATAGAGGGTCGCGCCAGACTAGCCTTTTCAGATCCAGCTTCCCACGGTGGGTTGTTTCTTTTGCATACTCCTGTTCCCCCCCGTTGAATTTGGACCAGTCTGAGCTTTCAAGTGTGGCTAGTCCTGCGAGCAAATGCAAGATTTGCATTATGCCACACGGCACCTCATGCGCAGTTGCTCCTGAACGAGCAATTGCCAGGGGGCATTCAACTCATCTTTGGCCTGAGGGCCGTGGTGCCTCAAGAGCAGTGCCCACGGACATACATTGTTATCATGAGAACTCCCTGAAGCTTACGGATGGAGTGCAAACTCCAGCTCTCCTCTACATGTAGAGAGCGCCTGGTGCCGATTCTGGGTCGGCCGTTGTCTGCGGCTTATGGACTGAGCCATGCAGGAGCACTATTGTGGCGATGTGTGTACCCGCTTGCCGCAACCCTTTGCTCTCATATACCTAGCTGTATGTTTCATTATCGTTACGCAATAAAGTAAACGACGAGGGGTTATTTCTGCTGCAGTTCGCCATCTGTGCAAGAGTGACAGGCCCTATTCTACGGCCTGTCACTCTTGCACAGACGTAGGGAAAGCTTCAGATTTTGGTGTTTTCCGTGCAGCAGCGCATTGACATTGCAATAAACGCGTCCTTTCTGAAATAAGAATAACACATCCAGGGCAGGGCGCCTTCAGTGCATGCGGTCACTAGGTTAAAGGGCTGGGGGCCCACGGAGGTCGGTGGGCACGGCAGCTTTTCTGCGGCTTGCTGTCACAACTTTTATTGCTCATTGAGTTATTACAGGCTTGTCTTCCCACGACGCACTGCTGTAAGCACCCATTTTCATCCTAGGACCGCAGCGGGTGGAGCAGCGGAGTCGCCTGCGGCGGCACTACACTGCAGAAGCGGCAGCGGCGGCAGCGGCTAGGCGCATCAGGGGGACTCCTTTGGTGTGAAAGCCGCAGCAGAGCGGACGGCCTTTCCTCCTTTTGGTTCAAAGGAGGCTGTTACCGCCTTTGGTCCCGCCTGGCAGCCAAGCTTCCGGACGCCGTTCGTGGCGCTCGTGCTCTGCTGCGACTTCTCCCGTCTCCCGCTTGTCTGCTTCGCCGTTTTCGGCGCATTTGTCCGTTCCGAGGAAATTCCGCGGTATTCCTCTTGTCGAAGGGGGGCCGAGGAGTCTAGGGGATCGCCGGGGCGGCTGCGCAGTCTGAGGCACCCACGTGCAGGACGTTGAACCCGAAGTACGTAGGCTCCTAGCGCGCTGTGGTTTACGCCTGGAGAAGAATCCCTTTGTTCTCGCGCATAGCGCAGTCTGGAATCATGGAGTGCGATGGCAGTACAGCCACCGGAAGGGCTGAGGACAACCTTGCGGCTCCCCAAGAGCCTGATGCCAGGGGAGAAGCGGCGACACCCCCGGAAGCGTTGGCAGCAGGCCTGTCAGTTCAGCAGGCAGGAACAAAAAGAAGCGAGCTGAGCCCCGAGGCACTGCGGGAAGTGAAGGAGGACCGGTTCCTGCAAGCGACACTGCGAGTGCGAGTAAACGACGGCTTTTTTCCCAATTGTGTGTTCCTACCCAAGACAATGGAGGAGTGCCGCAGGGAGGGGCAACCCCCTAGGTAATTTTGGCCGCACGTAGGGAGTTAGGCTTCGGCAGATAGGAGACACTTGGTACTGCGGAAATCCCTGCCGCAAGATGGAGCGTGGGGGACGCAGCAGGGGAGGGCGACAGGGATGCGGTAGTCGCGCTCGCTAGGGCTGAAGTAAGGGCTTTGCGGTGGGCACAGGGAGGGTCGAGTGCCTTTTTGAGCTTGAAGGAGTCAGTTGAGGCGGCAACAGAGAGCTTTGTGCAGGCAGGCTCATGACCCCTAGTCACTTCTTTCCTGTTGCTGGCCCTGCCGCCTCGTCTTTAGGCTTGCGAGCTGCTCTCTGCGACTTGCGGCATTGGCTGTAGCGTTGAGATTTTTGGGGCTCAGGATGCGAATCGAGCTGGTGCAAGAGATCCTCATCGAGATGACTCAGATCCTTTGGGCAAACAAGTCGGGCAACCTGTTCAGAGCGGCTGCTGAGGCCTTCCACAAGATATCGGACGACACTTACACCAAGTATTTTGCTGGCGACGTCTGCTGCAAGGGGTGTGTTGCTGGGGGCGCTAGAGCGGCGTAAGCTCTGCACAAGGATACGTGAAACGTGTGCCGCCTTCCTGTCGCTCTTGCCACTCTTCTGCAGGTACCTGCCCACTGAGACAAGGGCAGAAAGTGCTGCTGCAGTCCAAGAGCAGCTGGTGAACTACACTGTGCTCCTGCTGACCTGTTTGGAGCTCTTCGAGCTGGAAGACACGCCGCCGACTGCTGCAGTACGACAGATGCGCCTTGCTGCCGTGGCTGCAATTGGTGTTGCAACATCAGCGTTTGTGGAACCTGCTTTTGTGCCACACTCCGTCGTTGATTCGACATCGATGCCCATGAAATGTGTGTATGAGCCAGCATAGAAGCACATAAAATGGTGTGCGCTTACACCCTTTCTGTGCTGCTTGTTTGTTTGCGCCACTTTTTCAGATGGCCGTCCATTTCAGAGAGTTCCTAGAGGGCGTATTCCCCACTGCCTTTATGCTCAAATTGATCGCAGCTCTGCAGGAGTCACCTGGGAGCGGGGAGGGGGGGCCCTTGGAGGCTGCCTTTGGACCAGCAGTAGACGGACTCTTCGCAGCACTTACCGAGAGGGGGGTGAGAAGACACACACGCTAGGATCAGCATTTAGAGAGAGGGGGAAGCAATAAGGGCAGGGGAAAGCTCTATGGCGGCTGCAGGGGGGAGCGATGGAGAGCGCCTCAGGCTGCGGAGGGAAGGGCTTTATACAGGAAAGCAGACACAGAGATGCGGGGGAGAAACGGTCACAGACAGGCTAGCAGCGTAGGCGAAACTGAGAGTTCTTGCTCCTCGTAAGGGGCAAGAACCCTGCAGTTTCGCATGTGTTATGTCTGCACGGTTTCTGCTCTCGATTTCGGGCCTTACATGAGGCAGTCTCTGCTGATCGTTTCATCAGGTGGGCGGCTACAAGTCACCGGCTGTTGGCGCCATCCGCCTCCTCTCTTCCTTCAAGCCGATCGGTAAGGTGCCTCTCTCTGTCCAAGGCTGTGCAGGCTGAAGGGTGCTCTGACTGTTGTTGCGCTGTTGCCTGTGCTGAGGCTCAAGGTGTTGGTGGCGTTGTGTGGCCGCTACAGAGGCCCCTTTGCTCGCTTTCTGCACCATTTGTTGTGTTGTCGCAGCCTCGGTGATTACGCGCCGTAGTTGTTTCTTGCCGCCTTTCGCCCCGCCGCTTCCAACTGCGCAGCCAGGCTTCTTTCTCCAAGAAGAATCCCTTCTAGGACGTCTTCTCTCCTTCACCCCTCTAGATGGGCCAGTCCTCCCCGTACGTTCGAGGTCAAGCGCAGCGGATTTCGGCTTGAAGGGGTTTGTGAGGGGGAATGGGGTGGCGGCACTTGTGAGAGTTTTGGGAGGCATTGGTCGCTCTCTTGCGGCACAGCCCCTTTTCCTGCTAAAGGAGATCTCGATTGCGCTGGTCTGCACAGCTGAGCACTTGAGATTTACAGCGTGTGCGCGCAGAAAGGACAGCAGAGCACCGTACAGCGAATCTTTGCTGGGGGTCAAGCTCTGGCACCCACCTACTTGCAGAATGCAATTCAGGGAATGCGGCTTGACCTTCAAAACATCACAGATATCGATAATCAGGCAAGGGCAATTTGAAGGGATGCTGGTCTGAAGCCCATGTTGTTGCAGCTGGAGGTGCTGCTGTCACGTTTAAGGCCTTTTGTTTCCCTCTGACTCCGCCGTCTGAACAGTAGCAGTCGTGATGGTGGTGCAGCTCCCGGTTGTGTGCATGTTTGTGTGTGTGTGTGTTTTTGTGTATGTGTGTGTGTGCTTATGTGTGTGTATGTATGTGTTTATGTGTGTGTGTGTCTATGTGTGTATGTGTCAATGTGTGTGTGTGTGTATATTTGTGTATGTATATATATATGTGTGTGTATGTGTGTGTGGCTTCTGCCTGCTGGATTGGCGAGCCAAGCAGGCCTCCTGTCCGGTGTGTGCAGCAGCATATGCTGCTGCTGCTGCGTGGGTGTTGTGGATAATGCTGCTGCTGCAGATCCTCAAGAACATATGCCGGGCGGGAAAGGCGGAGAGGCACCGCGTGCTGCAGTGGTTCGCTGCAGTGTTGGCTTCAAATGAGGCCAGGGCGAAGGCAGCGCATGCGCATCTCATGATGCAGCAGCACACTCCGGAGTCGGCAGATCCTCTCCACGCCTTCCTCCTAAGTAGGCACAGAATTTTAGTGCGAGTGACGCTGCCCTGATGCCGTTGCCTTGCGTTTCAGCATGGTACAGCGATTGCTAGGCTGTCAGTTGTGTTTTGGGGGCTGCTGGGGAGGACGAAACGGTGCTGTTGCATCACTGGCTTCTCCCTCACCTCCGCCTTTGTGTGCTGCTGCAGAGGCTCAGGGGCAAAATTCGTTCGGCTTCTTGGTCAACGTCTTTCATGTGCTTCTGCTGTTGGTGGATCCTATCAAGACAGAGAGGATGTTCGTTAGTGTTACCCATGGGGGCGATGTTTTGCGACCCCGCAGCGCGAAGACACTGGCCTTTTCGCATGCCAGACACCTTTTGGGGCTTTGCTGCGGGTGTTTGTTGGGGTTGCCTCGCGCCAGCGTTGCTGCCGTCACCTCTGTTGGTTTCGCCATGGCGTATGCTCGGTCCATGTCAGACTGTGTGTGTAATGAGCGGCTTTTGCAGCTATGGGAATGATGCTGGGGCTTACTCACTATGTGTGCCTCTTCTTGCACCTCCTGCGGCCTTGTGTACTGCTGCGCATCTGAAAACACCTAAAGGCCCTCCCTGCATGCGTGCTGCATGCGCCACCGATCGTCTGCCTGCCTGCAGCTTCGAGGTTTCCCCTTTCTACGCAACCTGCGGGAGTGCCGAGGATAGCGCGCGTCTGCTGGTGTCGGGGCCGCTACGGCGAGAAGCTCTGTTGGGAGAGGACGAGACAGTCGCGTTTGCCAGAAAGTTTTATGCGCAAATCGCTGCTCAAGATGCGGATGCCAAATTCACCACCGAAGTATTTTGGCTCGCGATTCGTGCCGTCCGACTCTGCTTCAAGTCAGGAAAACACAAAACACGAGCTGTTGCTGTGTTCTGTCTGTTTCCTTCGTGTGTTTGTGCTGGCGGATGCTTTGCGACACATGCAACAGCCCGTTCTGCCCTCACGGCGCTTCATTCGTCGCCCTCTACGGTTTTTTCCTGTCGGAACCTCTCCCCATCATATACGCTACCCTTCACCATTATATATGCTTCCATTCACCATCATATATGCTTCCCTTCTTTTGCTGTTTGCCTTTGTCAGCGCCCGCCGCTGCGTCCATCCACAGGCGTTTTTTGCTTCTCAAAACCACCTGCCTTTTTGCGGCTGCGCCATGTTGCAGCAGCAGCAAGCCCTCCCTTACCATCGCGCGTCTTGCTGTCCTGTGGTATTTTTTTCTGCAGTTCTTGCGTCGCTGAGTACATGCGGTGGATGGAGCACTTCCAGCAGCGCCATGACGGCGGAATGCAACAAAACTCTCCCGAATACAGGAGCATCATCGCTGAACTCCTGGGGTGGCGTGCGGTCCGTCCGTACTTTTTGTTTTTTCTCATTCCATCTCTGTGTACCATCTCTGTGCCGGCTCGCTTTCCTTCTACCCCATGGGCTGCCTCTCCTCATTAGTTGAACAGACTTTGTGCAAGCGCTTTGCGTGCCTTCTCTACACGGTGCCCCTTCCCTGGTTGTGCCTCGCCGCCTTGTAGCTTTCCCGTTGCTTCCCTCTCCGTTTTCGCATCTACACACATGCGGAGTCCGAATGCGGCACCTCAGGGGCTGAGCTTTGCATGCTACGCGCTGCTATGTGAATGCTGCTTGCCGCCACCGCAGCTTCTGCTTCACCCCCGTTTCTGCAGCCTCTACTGGCACTTTGCGCATTTGTTTTGTTCTTGGCTTCTGGGGTGTATGTACACCTACACGGCGGACGGCAAGGAGGATTCCAAAGCAACGGGGCTGTTGAATGCTCAAAAGTGGCGTGCTGCTGCTCTTCTTACCCAGGTAACCTGGAGGAAGGAGGCAAAAAGAAAGGGCGAACGGAGGTAGTGTTCCTCTATGTACTTGTGCATTTCTTGTCTTGCGCCTTGCTGGTTTTTCAAGCCCCCTCCTTTCCCCTTCTCAAGCCGGCTTCCTGTGCCTCCCAGTCTTTGCTGGAACTCCACTCTCTCTTGAGCACTTTGCTGCTGCTGCTGCTCTATGTCTCTGCTCGAGGCTCTGCCCGCCAAAGCCTCTCGGTCTGTGTATCTGTACTACAACTGTACACCCCTTGCCGTCTGTATGTATGTATAGATATCTACATATTTGTATCTGTATGCATCGCCACCTACTTTTGTCTATGTGTATTTATCCATCCATATGTGTATATGTGTAAATAGATTTTTGATATCTGTTGGTATGTAGGCATGTATCTATGTATGCGTCTATGTATGTATCTCTGTATCTTGTATATACGTATCCTGTATGCATGCATAGAGCCTGCGAAGTGCGCATCTGCGTGCAGCTGCCTCCTGGCGGAGCGGCATCGCCTGCAAAGCCTTCTCCCCAGTTCGCCTGTGAGCGGTGCCCCACTCAATGACATGAGCTGAGAGGAGATTTCGCTGCCACCCCCTGCACACCATTGTTATTAAGCAAGGCTTAGAGCAGAAGGGAAGAACGCCGCGCTGCACAGGAGTTCTCAGCTCAGCGCAATTATTACGACACTGCGGTCCAATCACGCCAAAGTAGCCGCTTCCTGAGGCGCATGAGCAGCGAGACGGGAAGGGGGCAGCGGGAGAAGGGGAAGGACTATCTTTTTGGACTGACAGACTGAGACGCATAGACAGATCGATAGACAGGGTAGCCGCAGACAGGGCAGCCGCAGAAGTTGTGAACTCTCTGATAAGAAATTAGACTGCCTGAAAGTTTTACTCGGCCCTTCAAGAGACTCTTTTTAGGCTGCTCTTTTTGTGCTTTCTGTCTGTCTGTAAATACATCTGCAGTGTTGCCCAGCGGCATCGTTGACGACCTCATGCTTTCCATTCGGCACATGGCAGAGCTTCAGGCTTTTTACTCAGGTCTCAGGGGAGGGCAGGGGGGTGAAGTTTCTCCTTGCAGCAGCATGGATGCAGAGCTTGTTGCAGCCACATGCATCGCGGTGATGGGTTCGCCTGGTTTTTTCCGGAGCGTCCACACACGATGCGACGGGTGAGAAACGCCTTCCTTTGTCTCTTTCCTTATGTCTGTATTCTCTCTGACTGTCTCCTCCTTCCCTGCTTCTCCTCGGCCGCCTTATCGCCTTTTGTGTTACGTTCCCGCCTTGCGGCCTGTATCTGGAGCATCCGCCTTCACGACTTTCCCCTTCTTTTCAAGCCAGCCCCCCCTTTTATCCGTTCCTCTGCTCTCCCATATAAGCCAGTTGCAACCGCCTCTGTCGATCCGTTGCTAGTCTTCGAAACGCTCAGTGCATGACATCGTCCCCTTTCCCCCCTCCCCCCGCGGCCGCAGAGACTTCGCGCTTCTCCGAAGCGGAGAACAAGCAAAATCCCACTGCGCTTACATCGTTTTCCCTCAGTCAATCCCTCTTTCCTCCTTCTCCACGCTTGGCTGTTGTTGCGTCGCTGTCAAGTCAGTGTTGCACGGCGGGTCGGGGTATCGGTGTGCTTTCTCTCTAGCGCCTGCCGGACGCTGCACCGCCTTTTCCTGCTTGACGAGTTTCGATGCCGCTTGGAGGCTCTCCCTGTTGCCAAGAACTTCCTTCTGCCTGCTCTTGTGGAGGTGTTCATCGACTCAGAGCGAGGTGCGCTCTTCTGCATCCTTCCCTATCCATGTGTATATACATGACCTCTCCCCGCTTAATTCTCTGCGCACAAATCTTCTCTGCTGCTCATTAATTTTCCCGCTCCCTCCCCACGTTTCTTCCCTGGCATTCCTCTCTGGATCGCTAGCCACCCGCGTGCTCCTTCCCTTTGCATCGGGCTGCATCGGACTGACTGTCTTTCGCCTTCCCGTTCGCTATCAATGCGCACTGGTCACCCTTCTCGCTTCCCCGTCTTTTTGCCGAGCAACGCTAAGCAGACAGAGAGATTAGCAGCAGACTTTAAGCTGCGCTTTTCAAGAGAGCACCAGCAGGCGGGGGGAGCGACACCACGCCACCCCTGCAGGGTATCGGTATCACTACCCCTCTCCATACGAAAATCCAACAGCTCACAAGCGTTTCTTTGGCGCCTCCTCCTCAGGCTCCTACTACGATAGAATCAACTTTCGAATTCCCATTGTTGACATGCTGAGCCGTCTCCTAGCGCATAACGAATACACTGGCAATATGCGTCTCTTGGCAGAGGCCTATCCGGAGGTGAGACGGGCGTGCTGTGCGCAACACCATCTCGCTCTCTTGGCGTCGTTCTTTTCCCTCCCTGCATCACTTGCCTCTTTGAAACATACTGCGGTGTGCCTGTTTCCTCGTTTGGGTGGCCTACCCGTGGCTTTTTGCATGCATCTTTCTATGGTTTTGCTTCCCACGTCGTCGTCTGCGCGTTCCTTTCTCTGCCACACCCCTCGTTCGCCATGTCACGTCCACCCCTCGCTCCTGGCCCTTTCTTTCTCCCTCCCTTTCCTGCGTCTCGCATTGCCCTTCTCTGTGAAAATCCCCCTTTGCTCGTCAGTATACGTCCTGTAGCCGTATGCTCGTGACCCTGTGTCGCGTCGCTCCTTCCTGCTCTCAAGAAAACGGCGGGCGGCTCTACAGCGCTTCCTTCGTAGAGAGGGCAGCCATTCGCGGTGTATGTACGTCATGCGTGCACGTCTCCGCAGAAGTTTTTGCACATGGTGCATCTGTTACTCAACGACATTGCAACGCTTGTAGATCAGGCCATGGAGGCTCTCGTTGAGATTCGGAAGCGCCAACTCGACGGTATGTCATTCGGGTGCTGCCGTGCAACGTCCTGCTATCCGCGCCTGTTTCCCCGTATCCTTTTGGAGGGGCTATCAAAACGCTGTGTGTTTGCGTCCTCGAGAAGATGCAGTCGGGGAGTGGCAGTGCTTCGCTTCATCCCGTGGGGTCGGTCACACCGGGCAAAAAGGCGCAGCCCTGCAGCCTCGCATGCATTTGCCTCTCTTGCTAGCGATTGTTTTGAGCATCCTTCGCCACTTTACACGGTGGTTCCCTGTCGGGAACGGCACTCACGGGCCCTATGATAGGTAGCGCGTGGTCAGAAGCAGAGGCCTGTGTGTGGTGGTGCCTTTTGTCTACTCCGCTGTTTCTAGCCTAGCCTTGCGTGCGTCTCCTGCCGCTGCTACAGGCAGAGACAGGGAAGAAAGCGCTACACCCGGGCAGGGGTCGAATGTTTCTGCTAATGCTGACGCCACTGCTGGGGCTGCCTCCAGCCGTGCATCTGCGGGAGGAAGCCGGGGAGCACCGAGTGCCTCGGGAGAGGAGTCAGATGCAGACGAAAGTAAGGCCTCAAAGAAGATGAAGGCAGGAAGACTACTGCTGGCGACCTCTTGCCTGCTTACCTTTGCATGCGTGTCTTTATCTGGGTGTGTACTAATAGGTTGTGTTCTTGCATCTAGAAAATGAACCTGTGCAGCTTTGTTTGTGTGGCATCCCCTCTGCGTCTGCTGCCGCTCTCTATGTGTTTTTGTTCCTGTCTTGGCTTTCTTTTCGACGCTTTGCGCCACGCTGGTGGCGCCTCGCTTGCCTTCGTATCGAGATAAAGTCTCTTGCACGTCGCTAGGCTTGCAGCTTCCAGTGCTCCCTTTCATAATGGCGCTTTGGGCGCTTTGTGGGTACCTGTGCTATGCACATGTAGACATGTACGTGGAACCTGTTTGCAACGCATGCGCGTAAGTGGATGCAAGAGGGCCGTGCATGCAGCATCTCGTGGACGGAGGCTGCCACCTCGCCTCTGCCTGTCGCACACATGCGTGTTTTGACTCAGTGGCAGACTCCCTTGAGGGCCGCTCTACACTGGAGAGGGAGCCCTGGAGACGTCTGCAGTCAACTGCTAGGGACCTTTGCTCACTTGGCCACAGTGCATGCGCCCTCTTCACCCTGCTCTCGCGGCATTGCGGCACCGTCATCAGCGGTAGCAGCAGCATCCTGCCACAGGCTGTCACGACACTGGATTGCTGCCTGGATCACCTTGTTGGTCCTAGGTGCCTTCAGCTAAAGGTAAGAAGGAAAGCGCGCCGCCCCTTCCCATATTCCGAGAAACGCGCTGCAAGCATAGAGGGCATGCATCACAGATACACGGCTCCACATACCAGTCGCAGCGAGAGAGACATAGAGAGAGAGAGAAAGACGTAGAGAGATAGACATGCAGAGAGAAATAGACATAGAGAGAGAGAGAAAGAGAGAGGCAGGGTGACGCCCAAGCGCAGGCCCAGGAGGCGGTGGCGTGTGTCAACCCTCAAAATATCCATCGTGCTGGTTGCTGGACTTTAGGCTGTGCTTCTGCGCATTCGCTGCTCGTGCTTCATGCCTAAGTACTGAGCCTCGGTTCCTGTACTGTCCTCCTTGCAGGTAAACTCTATGGAGACGTACAACTTTAGACCGAAGGATTGGCTCTCCAAGGTCCTCGAGTCCTTTGTTTACCTCTGTGAGTTTGGGTATGGCGGCTTTGGGTTTGTGCCTTGCGAGAACGCAGCAGCGACAAGTATCGCGTGCTGTCGCTGCTGAAATTGCGGCTCTTTTGCATTGGCCCTTGTTGCCCTTGCTGCTGCGCTGCTGCTGCTACAGTGCAGGCGGATAAGACCAATGGAGATGCAATCACCGGTGAAATCCTTAGGGATGGGCGATATTACAAACACGCCAACATTGCCAAGGCGGTAAGGGATTTGAGCACTGTTGCTGGAGCAGTAGCTGGCGCGAATCGCTGGCTAAATGCTGCACTGCTGCTGTTCGGAGGGGGGTCTATCGTTGGCTTTGGCCTGCCCTTTTGCTGCTGCGTGTTCAGTGCCGCATCGCGCGTCGTGAGGGGCTGATGGCCCCCTCGTTGCTGAACGAGTTCTATTTGCTGGTGAAGAGACTCGCGGAAGTCGAAGAGACGGGGAAAGGCCTGGACTTAGACGAGGTGCCGGTATGTGTTGTTCCTCCATGGGTGCTGCGTTTGTGCTCGGAGGCACTTTGCTGCTTCTGTCGAGCCAGCTGTCTGTACGGCAGTTCGCGTCCTCTGCGTGCTACTGCTCGAGGGGTTGTTGTTGGGTCTTTTGAGGCGTTTAAGCTGCTGCTGCTGCTGAGTGCCGCTAGCTCGTTTTGCGCCTTTCTGCATCCATCAGGCCGAGTATCTGGATCCCATCATGGCCGACTTGATGCAAGATCCCGTGTTGCTTCCCTCTAGCAAGGTCATCATGGACAGGCGCAACATTGAGCGGCACCTCATGTCAGATCCTTCTGACCCCTTTAACAGGTATGTGTTACTTTCCGCGGGCCGTCTGGCGAGGCATATGCGCATAGCCAGGCCTGCTTGCCTGCCCCTTGTGCCGGCCTTTAGCCGGTAGCCAGGCAAGCTTCGGAAGCAGCAGCCTAGCAGCAGCCTCCACGGCAGTGAAAGTATCATTGCAGAGCGTATGCTGCAGAGAAGTAACACTGCAGTCTTCCCCTGAAGAGCAGCAGCTGCTGCCCGTGCAGAAGTGGCACCGGCTAGCCACCAGACCACACTGCTCAGGAGTCTGCACACGGGGGGAACTCTTGCACGCAGCGCGACGAGGGGCCGCTATGCATGTGGAGCGTTTTTTTCTGGCTGCTTTTTGCAGGGCCCCATTGACACGGGAGCAGTTGGTGCCTCAGCCTGAGCTGAAGAAGGAGATTGAGGCCTTCCTAGAGTCGAAGAACGCGGCAGCCTTAGCCACCAAACCGGTTGGCCAGTAGGCAGCCAAGCTCACAAAGTAGGGAGTCCTGGGTGGCCCCTCTGCACGCGAAGATGCAGCGGAGTGAGTGGGCAAGTAGGGCTAGTTTGACAGCATGCGTGCTCTTGGGCTTTCGCGGTGGGGGGAGACCTAACTAAACTTTAAAATAGAGCCGTGTGCACGGAAATCCGACAAGGGTTTACCCACTGGCCGACCTGCTGCGCACCGTGACGCCCTAAGAAACGCGTGCAAAGTCTCCCGACACATGCCACATGGCGGCAGCGGAAACGGCGTGTTGCCTCGCTCGCGGCACGAGCGGCAGCGCAGGTCCTGGCCGACTTTCTGGTGGCCAAGAGGCCGCGGCCTTACGGCTGCCTCACTGTAAAATATCCACGCTCACTCGGCGGAGCAGGGAGGCGTGTGCGGTCGGCTAGCGAAAAGAAATAGCCAGGGAGCGGGCTGCGTGGGAATAGCCAGGGAGCGAGCTGCGTGGGAATAGCCAGGGAGCGAGCTGCGTGGGAATAGCCAGGGAGCGAGCTGCGTGACTGTCCTTCAATAGCTGGCTAGTTGCGTAGTAGGCCTAGTGCTAGCGGTGCTTTTGCTGCAAGCTACCGTATCAGCACGGGGCGTCTGACCGCCAGCCAGCAGACAAGGAACCGCTAGGGGGTAGCTGGCCCGCCAGCGTGTGCAGCTAGCGAAGCAGGAATTGCGGAGTGTTATTCGTGGCTCTGTGGTGTAGGGGTACTCAATGTGTACTACAGGGAGGGCAAGCGTTTGAAAAACTCTGACGGAATCGGGAAATCGCCAACTTGGAATTGCAGTGTGCAACTGGACACACACACAGCTTTAAGCGCTAGCGCAGATACCTCTGAAACTTGAGTAACGCAGTTTTAGAAAAATTTGCGGATGAGGCGAGCCTCCATGCAGTATGCTTGCCGATAAAACGCTACGCGGGCGTGAGGCGCGCCTTTACTGTTCAGGTTGAGCTGTCCCTTTTTTCTTAGGATACGGAACTTGCATGCGGGAAAAGATGGCTTCTCTGTCTGCATCTAGGGTCCTGCCTGCTTGCAACGCGATGAGAGGCCCGTTTAGATCTGAACCATAAAATGCCACCTCTTTGCCTGCATCTCTGTGCTTTTGGCAGATGCTCTCAAGGGCAACGCAAACGGAGTGGTCTGGTGAGGCCGTTGCTGCATGCAGCACGACAACCGATCGCTTAGGCGATGTTTCCGCTTGCATGAGGCTTGAGAGGCGCCTTGCCGTGGCATATACGAGGGGCCCATTCAGGAAGTAGTACCTGATTCCTGTTGCCTCGTCCGTTTGCACGTGGACCGATGCCGCTTGCAGGGTGCGCCAAGCGAAAGAGCACAGGGATATAAAGATGCCAATGAGAAGGGCCGTTCCTAAGTCGAAAGTTGCCCCTAAGATCGTGGTGGCCAGGACGACTGCTGCTTCAGTTTTTGAAGTTCTCTGCTGCAGGCAGCGGTACTTCTTGCAGAAGGAGCGGGGGAGGAAACTCGCAATGAGGGGTGGAAACATTTTCCAGCTGACAGCACTTGCTGCAGTGTACATGATGGCGCCACTAAGGCCTCCCAAGGGAAACACATCTAAAACGTGGTAGGCCACGGACGTGAAGATGCACAAAAAGACAGCGGATAAAATAGGCCCCTCCTTGCCCTCTGCACCCATGCGGTTAGCCAGCAGAGACAACATCATCGCAGTTGCCCCCGGAAGGCAACCAAGGAAGCATGAGATGGCGTTGGCTGTTCCCAGCGCAACAATCTGACGGTCTCTCCTGAAGGTCCACCGACTCTTCTCCTGTATTTTTTCTACCGCCATCACGGTAGATATTGAGGACAGCACCATAAGGGTTGTTGCCACCTGAATGAGCGTAAAGATGCCCTTTACTGAGAGCAACTCCCGCGTTGGCGGCGCAAACGCAGGGGACAGAAAAAAAGGCGCGGGCATATTGCTACCCTGGGAAAGGGCCCCTACGTCGCCGACAGTCCGCGTTTTCATATGCAGCAAACCCCTTACAGCAACGAATTCGGTGAAAACAGTCATGCCCAATGCCACGGCGGATGCAGGCACGTATTTTCCCAGCGGCCAGGGAGCAAGCATACCCCAGAGATGCATGATCAGCCAGACCTCTAGGATCATCGCAAGCACGACAATCCACTCATAACCTGTAGACGTTAGAGGATCGTACTTGAATGCGTGCATCTGAGAACGAAAGTTGATGATCGCCACGGCATTTACGTAGCCCACTTTAGAGCCAACCGGAACCAGAGCGGCCAGCCGGCCAAATCCCAGAGCGCCAAACAGGCTCTGCAGTATTCCGCACAGCATGCCCGCGGGGAACACGAATTCACGACCCTTATAAACGCACTCATCCCCGTTGCACTCCTCGCGGACAGTGGCCACCAGAGCCGTCGTTAACGCCTCCGTAATGGTGCAAACAGTTCCAGGAGCGCCCCCCAAGAGCGCAACCGTAAGGCAGAGGATCCAGCAACTGTTGAGAGTAGATGCGAGGGGAAGCCCCGAGAGAACTGCACACGTCATTGCAGTAGGAACCATAGAAAATGGTATGAAAAATCCCGAGACCACAGCAGGCAGCAGTTCGCCGAGCCAAGGCCAGTCCCAACGAAATGGCACACAACACCAGCCCCATGCGTATAGCGACACCATATAGTCGTGAAGCGTTCTCTTGAAAGAGTGTGCATCTCGAGTCTGGGGTTTTCGCTGCATCTCCATGTAATGATTGCGCACATCCTCCTTGCTCTGGCACACCCAACGGGGGTGCAAGAGCCCCGCAATAGAGGCCTCTGCGTCGCCGAGGGTTGTGACCGCCATGCTCGAGCAGCCTGATGGCGAAGACAATACGGGGGAAAAGTCCCCTGATTTACCTTGGGGCTGGCCGCTGCTGCTGGTGTCGTCTGCTGCGGTCGGCAGGTCGGCAGAGGACACCTGAGGGGCCCCTGCAACGTTATCTTGCACTACAAGAAAAGTGCGGTCATGAAAGCTACCAGAAATGCCACCAGATGATTTGCCCAACGACCCCCGGCCGTGTGCATGGCTAACGCCGTTAGTGCAAGAAGAAGAGCTGACAATGGGCCGCGGGAGAGCAGCGTCCAACGGGGCACTACGGCCCTCCCCTACGCGATTTGCTTCTTCCTGTGAATGTGCATGAAGCGATTCCCCTGTGTCTCGCTCCATGTGCGCTGCGGCCTCAGCGTCAGCGCACCTGCTTTTCATGGGGTTGGAAATTTTGGGGGAGCTTGCGCGTTTGACTACTACCTGTTGCAGCGCGGCATGATCTTCCTGCTCAGCAGTAGGCCTCGGCATGCCCTGCTCCTGAAGACTCTGTGAGGGAGGGGGGAGCCCCCCTGACCGAGGGGAGGCCGCATTGGTCCTTTGGTGCGGGTAGTGGTTCGTGACACAGTTGCTGGGGCTATTGGCACTACGGGGCAGGGGGTCTGACATGTTACATATGTCGTGATCAGTGATTCACGTCCCTGTATCTTTGCAAAGGAGCAAGTTTCAGCGGCGAACTTCCTCCACCGGTGTGCGACCTGCTACGCCAAGCGGCGCCACAGGTAGAGGAAGGAAGGTGCGAAATAGCTGAGAGGAAGAAGCAATCATGAAGACGAGTTAATGCTACATTTGGGATGCTCAGGATTTACTTTTTCTCGAACGCCAATTGGATCCCAACTGAACGACAGGGGGCGGAACATTCAGGAGGGTGTGACTCCCTAATGAGGAGCTCAGAAATAGACCTGCAACCAAGAGAGGAGCTTCTTCTTCTTAGACGAGATTTTATTGATCTAGCATGAAGTGATTACGCTGGAGGGCAGACAGAAGACGGGCTCTGTCCGATCTCCTCTGCTGCAATGCTACCGCGACATTGTCCCATGGGGGACATGCCACGCAGAGGAAGCGCTGCTTCACTGTGCGTCAAGACATCAACTAATACGCCATTTTTCTCATTTTCAGATCTTCTTTACAACTGTATAGCGTGTAAATTTGATAGCATGTCAATAAAACCCCTTAATGCCACCTTCGCCGCGTATCCGTACTTTCCCCTGGCCTACTGTTCTTCCTGGTGAACTTCGTGATCTAAACCCACCTTTACTGGAGCCGCTTACTACTACTGAAAGGCAGAAGCTGAACCAGCCCTGACCCTGAAGAGGGCACGCCCGGAAGATCACGTATCTTTCGACGGTGTTGCATGCCAAGCTGCGCTCTGGCACCTTCTACTACAGAAAATTTGCTAGTTGAGATATAGTGGGTGTGACTGGTTGGTTTGGTTGTTCTTCCTTAGTATTTCCTGCAGGATAGGGTTAGATAGTGGGCTCGGTGCTCTGAGAATATATGCTGCTTGCCATCACTCAACTTTGCATATAGATAATAAGCTCTTGCCCGGGGTACTCAAAAAGTGTAGCAGCACACACCCCATCCGTCCTCTGTTCCGTCCTGCCAGTTCCTCGTTGGGTGAGCACAAGGAGAGGCGGCAGCCAGCCCCTCTTCGGAGACACCAAATATCTTTCTCTTGGCTTTCCTGTGGCTCCGTGGTGGCGGTCATTTGATGGAGACCGCAGCAGGATTCTCTACACTTCAACTTTTTTTACTATACTAGTAATAGTTAGTTAAGTGGTAGTAAGGAAATTTACTACTTGAAGTGTTTCGTCTTACATCTATTCGGAACATAGTGCTGCATGCCCAATACATGATTACGCAATGCGGTATATGTGTGCGCTAGGTGCGATGTGTAACTAGCAATTAATGCTCAGAATTTGCACAAGGTGCAGCTACACGTACTCTAGCTGTCATTCTCCCCCTCGTGTCGGGGAGTCTGAGGTGCGCAGGCATGGGGCGGCAAGAGTTCTCTAGGAAAATAGTGAATAAGTTTTTTGCGTTTGGAGTCAAGTATCTTCATAGGGAACTCTTGGGTATATCGTCCTACAGACCATTGGACGAGCGCTGCAGCAGCGTGGAGGAGCAGATCGGCCTGAGGCGCAGTGTGGCGTGCTCATTTCTTCATAATTTCCCGCCTGGAGCAAAGACTGTCTTGCGGTGCTAGAGAGGATGCCACAACGTGCAGCGGTGTAAGCAAAATTTTTAAAAAGTACACGCATCATTCAAGTAAAACTCTATAGAGAATTGACTAATTGATTTGTCTGTTCATACATGTTGACTAGTGGCGTGCGCTCGGTACGAGAAGATGCGTTAAGTGCGTTTGTGCTGGAATGCTGCGCATCCAACTGTGAATGCTCGGAACGCTTGTAGGTTCAGCTAGGCGCACTCTAGCTATCCCTGCACTCCCCCCCTCCCCCCCATGTCGAAGCCAAGAGGGGCGCACGAAGGGGAAGACGGAGCTCTTATTTGGTGGATAGAAAATTTTTCAAAAGTTTGCGTAGGGTCTGTAATCAGTGTTGGAGCATTATACAAAGCACCCCTGTTCGCAGCAAAAGACATAACGGGAGATGAAACTTGGGATTGCATTTTCGTCAGCTTCAAACGGAGACGCCTGGTCTAATCCCCCCGCCGCCGATTTCCCAGGCAGCCTCTGAGCCGCAGGGCAGCGCATAGCGCCCCAGGGGTTGGACGTGTTGGGTTACTGCCTGCCAGACTGGCAGGGTACTTTGTATATGGCAGGTGTGAAGGTGGATATAAGCGCTGAGGGCAAGGCCATTATTTGCACGGCCCCTTTAGCAGCCACCGAAAAAGCACCGAACCCCTCAATAAAAGAACAAAGCCGCCCCCTCTGCCTACAGGCCCCTAAAAGCAGGAGCAGTTAGATCGTCCTGAGGGGAGGCCCCAAACATACGAGAGAAGGCCCCTTTGAATAACCCCCAAACGCGAGCTTGAAGATCCCACCCTGCGGCCTGTCTTTGCTGCAGTTAGAGGTACTTAAGCTTGCCGAAATCAATACGCCTGGTAGCGTAAATCACCCAGAAGAAGCGCCACCAGACGGTCATGAGGGCACAGCCAAGGAGCGCCGCGCTGACTGCCTTGAGGCCAAACAACTTTCGTTCATCACATGTCGGCTCTGTTGCCCATGTGAGGAAGTTCACCACATCCTTAGACTGAAACGCAACGTGTAAAACGCATACACATACACACACATACAAACAAACGTAGTCACCAGGCGAAGCAGTAACCGACCAACACAGGCCACGCACGAGCAAAGAAGCGGAAACCTCTTGTGCCAAACAGATAACAGAGCATACATAAAGGCGGACGCGGGAAATATAAGCTCTTGAATAATACGTAACACGAATAAGAGCAATCAATCGGGCTGGGGACACTCTTGTGTGCGCATATGACGTTCAGACACGTTTTTGTAAAGTCCCCTGTAACTCTATTTCCTAGAAGTACATCACCCGCTACAGAGAACACTGAAGTAGACTATGGAGGGGCACACACGCAAAGAGAAGGCGCAAACAGACGGCGATCGCACAGAATCCCTTGCGTCTTGCTGCAAGGAAGCGACCGCGTGCGCTAAGCATATTTTAGAAGAAAGAGGCATGCAACCCTACCATCTGAGAGACGTTGCATGGAGTGCCATCTTCGTATTCAATCATCTCGTCCTGCAGGGGAGGGGCCATTGCAATGGCGTTGCCCGGGAACCAGACGTTCCAGTAGAGCCCTGGCCTAAGTTCAACTCCCATGGGGGGTTCATGGTAGCCGTTCAGCAAGGCCATAATGTAGTCAGGGCCGTGCATGCGAGCTCCCGAGATCAGCGACAGGTCCGGAGGGTAAGCTCCATTATTCGCGAAACGAGCGGCTGCAGAAAAGACCGGGAGAGAAACACATGCAGAAGCGAGACGGTAGCGTTCTGACCAAGAGCGACATGCATGAACAGTGAAAAACTAAGGAGTTCCACACAGCAGGCAGACAGACAAATAGACACCCACACACCGAGACAACCCAACGAAATAGGGCCGATGGCAACAGGAACAGGCACAAGATATGACGTTCATGCACACAATAGGCCAGCGATGTCGAAGAAGAAAAGGGAAACTGCTTTCAGAGGGATGATGCGTCACAGATGAAGTAGGGCCCATCATTTGCACTGGGTGAGGAAAGATATCAGTAAGAAAAGCCGTCACCACCCACACCATGCCCCGAGGACGCGGAATCAGCCCCCCTACTTTCAAGCCACCCCAAAGGCCATGAGTCATTCCATCGAGCAGGTTGCTTTGAGCCGGGAAGAAGTTGCATTTCGTACACTTATAAAGGAACAGCTTATTCAAAATGCAGCGAGGAGGGCCCCTACAGCACCATGAGTTACGCAACGCCGATATAAGGGGGCACAAGTCTAACGAACTTACTTTCTTCATTGGGATACGGCTTCGGAAAAGCATCACCTAGGACACCCGGACGAGTATACATCTCCCCGCTGTCATTCGGCCCATCTTCTACGTCGTATTCCGCTGCAATCTGCTTCACGCGTTTCTCGGGCAGCACTTCCCCCACCAGGTGGCGGAAGTGCAGCTGCTCCATGGAGTGGCACGTCGAACAGACCTAACGAAGCACAAAGAGAAATATTAAAAAGGGATGCAATACACATCGTGGCCCGCATCCACGGCCCCCTCTCCCCCGCTCCCCTTCCCAGTCGCAGTGCGGTTCAGGTATAAATTCAGCTGCCCGTTTCGGTAGGACGGGGTGACCCTCCTACACCACATGCCTTCGGAAGTCAGCAGATGGCCAGCAATACCAACTGCCGCAGCCATAACGCGGGGAGACGTACACGAGAAAAGGTTTATTCATGAGAATTTATGTTCCACCACAGAATACATACACCACATGCATCGAGGCAGCACGACGCAGTCTCTGTCTTTCCTCTTTGTTGCAGCCGTGTAGGTAGCTCTGCCACATTTGAATGTATTGGTTGTTTTATGCACAAAGGCAAGCACATTCCGGCCAATTTTACATCAAAACCATGGAAACAAGCTATCACAGCACACACTGTCCAGTCTGGCCGGCAGACTGCTTACCTTGCGATACACTTCGTAGCCGCGCCTGACTGAGGGGATATCATGGGAATGGAAGATGGACTTGAACCAAAAAGGATAGTGCGGGGGCCTCGGTGGTTCCTTCTCAAGACACCAGCAGACCGGCCGACGCTGATAGAAGCAGTCGTGCACGAACGAGGCGCCAAAGGCAACGGCCATGTAAAAGCCCAAGCTGCACACAAACATGCACTCAAAAGCGAGACAAGAAATAAAAGATCTAATCTTCTAAGGCCTGGTCATAGGGCCATAAATACGGACAAGCACCAGATAACACAGCGCAATCCTGGATGCTACAGAATTCCAAGGGCTCTGGTCATCGACGAAGGCTGCAGCCGGCTTCATGTCGGCATCCTTCTTCGCACGGAGGCTCATACAACAGTGTCAGCGTACACAGCTCTACACGGTGGCCATCACGGAAGGGGTCATAGATCCGAAATACCTCTGATAGCGATATCCTTTGCGGGCTTGTTGCTCTTCCTCCGTATACGGCTCGAACGGGCGCACCAGGCGATTCTGCTCGTTCTGAGTGGGCATGTAGAAATCAGCACCCTCCACAAGAGTTCCCCTTGCCTTTTGCCGCTTATAATCTACTGCGGGAAGTCCATTCCTGTCGTCTGGCCGAAGGGGATCTAGGATCGCTTTGTTGTAACTTTGCATGCGCTGGTTCAAGACCACGCATTGGACATACACTTGGCGCTCATACGAACTGTTCCATTGACGCACCAGACGTTCGCGCCACTGCGGCAGAAACGAGCACATACAGGCGTGCACGGACACACTATGCAACAACAGCGCATATGGACTCGATACGAATCCTCAAATGTCCCGATACGGCCCCGCATCCAAGCGGCACGCACTCGCCTCGGCGAGTAAAGACACCTCAGAGCCTGCAACCCAAACGTTATATTCAAAAGTGCACATGCTAAGCCCTGCTTTTGACTCCGCCCTTGCACAGTGTAAGAACTGGCTCGAGCAGCCAACGAGCGTTGCGCTTGCAGAAAGCAACAACCTGGGCCCCTTCTGTATCGGCACATATCCCCCAGGAAAGAAGAAAGAAGAAACAAGAGGGGTCTCTCTGTTGTGGCTCCGCAGCTGCTGGCACTCCAGCCACCACTTCTACATCGGCAGCCAGCGCCTGCCGCTGCAGGAAGGCACCGGCAGGGCAGATCAGGGGGCCCTTCAATCAAATCCTGAGAAAAAGATCTACCTGGACAGGAACCTTCATCCAAATTTTGTCCTTGTAGCCTGGGAACAGCTTATTGAGCGCGCCGCCGCCGCCGCCCCCCATCGTGTCACGCCGCTTCTGCAGTCACGCTACTAAACGCCGGAGGATTGCAAGGCCCCTTTCCAGTTCCCAGTGTTTGAAAGAGAATGAAATCCTAAAAAAGGACCGGCCGACACACAACTTCAAGCCAGGCCAGCTGCACATACAACGGGAGCCGCTCGGCTCCCCATAGCCCTGCTCTGTGCCCTCGGGGCTGCTGCTGCGGCTCTGCGGCTGCGGAAGTCTTCTTGTTCTCCATATCCCAGGGTGTATTCATGCACCCAAATAGCTATCCCCATTTCTAGCCCCCTATAGCTTTGAGGAGATTTGGTCCTCCTGAGGTGTGCATACCCGCGAACAAGGCAGCTGCAGCACGACTCATGCACACTCAAGCAGGCTGTCAGAATCACCCAAATCCTCCAGATTTAGAGGCACCCCACTAAACTGTAGCTTCCCAAAGGAATAGTCGAACCGTATGGGAAACATGAGCTTATAGGGCCCCGCGCCCGGCTACCACAGGGCCTGGAAGAACCCTGTGTTCGTACTTGTATCCACAGGTGCAGCTATACCACAGGGTAGGTGTATAGGGTTCTATTCCGCCTTTATACAAAAAGCTTCAGGAGCGATGCAAGGGATAGAAGCTGGACAATTAGAACTGTTGAGCAGGAGAGATCCCAAAGAGCGTCGTTGTAACGCTCCATGTGTGGTGTCCGCAAGGCGAGCCATAATTTTAGACTCAATGCAAACTTAATATAAGCGCATTATATGTTTCTTACGCCTTACCCTGCCCGGGTCCGTGAGAAGTCTCAACATGAGAGCACCAGGACAGTGAGGGAGCAACCGGCTGAGCAGTATTTTAAGGCACTTCCTACTAAAGTCACTATCTCCAACAAAGAATTAGCACACAGTTTACTCACTGGTTTGCCTGTTCCTGTATATTGTTGCATAGCTGCGTTAGCTCGATACACGAAGGTGCAATATGTGCAAAAGCGCTGGATGCAACGTGCAACTGGTAATGAGTGCGCAGACTGCTTCAAGTGCGCAGTGACGTGCACACTAGTTGCCCCTCTCCCCTGACTTCGAAACCCTTGAGAATAAATGTCGGAGAAAGAGAGCGGTCTTGTGAAACACAAAATAACCTTATTATGTCCACAGTGTCTCTGGGTTAAGTCTATCCGTGCCGGGGACTTGGGGCGTCACCGCAGCGGGGCAAGCAGCCCTTAGGGCTGTTCATTGCATTTGATACATTGAACTAGGTATTGGGAAAGAATATGAGCAGTATTAAACTAGCTATTCCCTGCAACAAACAGAAGATAGGAACCTGAGCGAAATAGTTAGGAGTGAATGCAGTGTGCGTGTGCTTTCTACGCTGCCATGTGCAACTCGGAGCTAATGCTGAGGGTGGTTAGAGGGTGCGGCAAAGCGCATCATAGTTGCTCCTCTCCCCTCATGACCGCAAATCCACAAAATGAGGACAGGAAGGTAGGAGAGAGGGCTTCGGAACTATTCCGCGCGGTCTGAATTCCGCCCTCGCGAGCCGTAGCTGCTCGCCTTGAAGAGAGTTGTGGTTCTCCTCCCTTTAGTGGCTTCTGTGTTGTCAGACGGGGTCGAAAATCCGACAGCAGCACATGAGCCTCTTATTCGGTATTGAAGTGTGCGGGCTGCGTTATCATCGGCTTGCGCTATAGCAGGGGGCCACATTTTGTGTCGCCAAACTGGTGTGTTTTGGTGCCCTACTCTCCCCCCACAGTGAGGGCCCGTGGACCTTAGCGGGATCGTTTTTCTGGAGGTATTAGCGTTACGGCGGACAACCTCGTGGGAGTCACCCTCTGCTTCTTGTCCCCACGGTTCCTCTTGAGAGACTGTTATTTCGCGTGTAGCGACCTTATAAGGAGGGTGTACAGTTCCCTCACCTACATCTGCGTCTATACGGGTTGTAGAGGCTGGGCATGCAAGCGAACAGTCACGTGCAGTCTGCAGAGCTGGCTTATCAATAGGAAGGCTATTTAGGGTGCCGAGGCTTGAAGCCGGCGCGAGGTCACAGTCGAGCAGACCGTGAAGCCGACCAAAAGGCAAATGGTGGGCAGCGAGGGAAGGACATGATAAGAGCAGAGAGATGGAGGTGGGCAGAGGCCGGTAAATGTTGCAGGACACTGAGAGCTTCTTAGAAGTCTTCTTCCTGTGCCAATATTTACAGTGATTGCCCTATCGATTTTGTATGGCCTACCCTGTATTCGGCTGCGAAAGGTCTTTCTATGCCTGCCTCTCCCCAGGAAGGGTGTTCCCATAGTACCCAACTATTCGAGCAAGAAAGCAGCCCCATGGCCACACCAGCGAACAGCAGCATCTTTAGAGAACGCTTCGTGAGAGCTGCAGGTGCTCCATACAGGAAACAGCAGCTCTGCAAAAGTTTCAGAGGTGGAGGGCGCACACCCCAGCAAGGGACGCGGGGGTGGCTTCAGAAAGCTATACACCTACATAGAGGGAGGGAATCTTCTCTTCCAGCGGAAAAGAAAGCTGTTTTGACTAAGGGAAAAGGGAGAAAGAACAGTTTGCGTTTTCGGGGGAATGTGGGGAGGGGGATTAGCGGCCCCAGAAGGACTTAAGAAGTCCACCAAACCGACCTCCACTAGCGGCGGCTGTCTTGCTGGAGAGGTCAGGGGGTTCAAGGGATGTAATGGCCTGCAGCGTCCCATCAGTACAGCCGCAAGCAAGAGAGTATGCGGATAAGAGTCGCACACAAGTTTCCCTTTTTCAATTGTTGCCGCAGTGGAGGGGCGCGCGTCTTGTGAGGGCTCCTCCATGAGGAGGTGGCCTACGTTCGACAGGGTGGCACTCACCAAGTCGAAGAGATGCGGCTTGCAGGCAACCGGCTCGGGAGGAGGCAGCAGCAAACGTCCCACAGTTGACTGCAGCTGTAATCACAGATCACAAGAGAACCCGAAAGGCGCAGCCAGATATATGCATCCCTAGCTCCTCCCCACCTACAGCAGCAGCACGCGTTGCAGTCAGAAGCGCGGAAAGTTGAGGGCCAGAAACAACAGCAGCGGTACCTGCTTTTGTACGGGAGTCAAGTCGGCACTGTCTGTGTCTTCTCGCGTTGCCACGGCAGCGGAGGCCGGCCTGTGGATGTTCTGTGTTTCTGTCGCAGCAGCAGCACAGCGCACTTGAGCTGGAGGGCGCCTCTGTCACTGGCCACAGCCTGCTGCTGCCCTTGCCGCCTTCCCGCGGCAGCAACACAAAACCCTTCTTTCGTCCTCCAGCTAACAGAAACCCGAGTGCGCGGCAGGGTGCTTCAGGAGACAGTGTGCTCTATCCTAAGGCTCAAGCCTCGCTTTACGTCCTGGCGAAGGCCAGAAGTGAGAAGTGCTGGGGCACTCACTGCAGAGGAGGGCGCAGAGGTAGCGGCACATGCGTTGTCCTACTGCAACTGCAGTCACTTTCTGCGCGCAAAGCAGCGGACACGACAGCAACGCCACAACAATAGCTGTCTCTGGCCAAAGTCTTCGGTATCATGAGGGAACTGCCAGCCGACAACGTCCCATGACAGCAGCACCACTAAAAACCGTGTCAATAGCAGCCGCAGTAGCAGCAGGCCAGGACGCGCATTCACCTGAATTGCAGCGAGTAACAAGTCAATTCGCTCATGGGGGTCGTCGCGGAGCTGCACAAGCGCATTCAAAGAGCAGCAGCACGGAACACCATAATGCACGCAGTCACGCACGGCAGGAAGCGATGTGTCTGCGAGAGCAGCAACAGTCCCATTCACAAACACTCTCACTGCAAGAGGACGCAATGCACAGAGTCTCACGGTTACCCTGCGTGTCAACACAGAAGAGGACCGCAACAGTTGTAGCAGCAGCCGCCGATGGCCCCTCTGCTCACCTCGGGCTGCAGCCTGAGCAGCACCTGACGTGTAGAGACGGCGCGCGCTAAAACTGAGATGCAGCACCACAGGCGCATCTAAGAGGGCCCTGTACAGCGACAGTGCTCCTGGGAGAAGCCGTGTGTGGATGCCTTTAGCAGTGGTGGTGAAAGGGTTTTTTTTACCAAAGGCATCTGACAGAACCCCCTCGCAAGCGATTGCGGTGGCCAGGCAGGTAGCCCTGCACGTAACAACACACAGCAGATCTACGTCCATAGCTTTAATACGCACACATTTCTCCTGCCTTGACACAGACGAGATCTCCAGCAGTCCTCCCAACAACAGTAACACGTACTTGCCGTCCTTCGCTATCTGAATCCACCGTTGCAACTGCGGACGGCGCTCATCGGGGAGGGCCTCCTCCCCCTGCATCTGCTCAAGGCCCTGCGAAAACGGCAAGAAACTGGTTGCCGAAGAAACACAGTAGAGAACACGAGAGAGCCACAGCCACCAGGAGCGCCGCAGCAGCCGCACACAGGTGCAACAACAGGGGGGCAAATATGCAGCTGCCGACCTGAAGTAACAGATTTGCAAAGCGAAAGCCTTCGTGCGCTCTCGACAGCTCCCGAGACTCCCGCAGATCTGCTGCAGCAGCAGCAACAGTAGCGGACATAGCAGGCTGCAGCATGCAACAAGACTGCGACCAGCAACCCGGAGAGCGCTACCCCATCCGGCTGCTGCAAATGCCCCAGCAACTGCAACAGAAATTGCAATCAAAGGAAGCAGTACCGACCATCTGCAGCAGAGAGGCTCAGGAGACACCGCAGCAGCATCAGGGCGTCCCGTTCTACTTCCAAGCAGCGGCTCATATCCATGCATAGACCTGCAGCAGTACCACCCATTACCGCGCGCAATGGGAAGGGAAACACGCTTGAGCAGCAAACGCCAACCTGTGAAGCCGAATGGGGAACGTGGTGTGCGTATGTGACTTCCGCTAGGTTGCAGCAAAAACTGCTCCGCCTCCTCTGGCTGCTGCTGCTGCATCGCTACCTTTGCGGCAGTACCTTTCTCTAGTGCAGAGGCAGAGGCCTAAGGAAAAACCGCTTACCCTGGGCGTGCAGCCATGACGACTCCTCAGGATCTGCCTGCAGGGAGAACGACAGCAGCCGTAGCCGCGAAGACAGTAACAATAGAAGCAACAGGAATAGCAACAGTAGTAGCAACAGCAGAAGCAGCAATAGGAGCAGCAGCAAAAGTAGCAATACTGGCAGCACTAACGATAGCATCAATATCGATAGCAGGAGCAGCAATAGTAGCAGCAGGAATAGTAGCAATAACAACAGCAGCAACAGCAATAGCAATAGCAATAGCATCAGTAACAGTAGCAGTAGTGTTAGTAGCAATAACAACAGCAGCAATAGCAATAGTAGTAGCAAGGGCAGCAGCACCCTAACAAGAGCATTATTACCATCATTTCCTTGTGAACCAGCTCCACACAGTCTCTAAATCGGGCGGAAGCCTCTCCATACCTGCATAAGGCGACAACAGGAGCAGTTTGAAATATGCAAGGGCCGCAAAACGCATTCTTGTAGCAGCAGCATCCGGTGCGCAGTTTAAAACTGTGCAAAGTGTGCGAACGCTGCGGCTGGCTGCAGGGAGGTGTGGGAGTCCTTTTGCAGGCCTTATCTCCCAGACACTCTGCAAGGGGGTGGAGAGCAGTAGGGAAAGAAAAAGACAGGCGCCAAGCGTACTGCTCTGCCCAAATCTGAGCATCAGCCTCTGTGAGAGTGGGAGCCATGGTTTTCATGTCGGTTGCAGCAGCGGCGGCAAGCGTGCGGAGCGTTTCTAGGGGGAGCAGTTGCAGCTCCTTCCAGTTCGCAAGTGCTGCGCTCATTGCTGCCCTCGGTTTCTCCTTCTTGGGATCTACTGGCGTGCCTCTCCACGTGGCAATACACCCGGTGCTGCTCTTTGCCGCTGCTGCAGCAGCGGCAGCGGCAGCGGCCTTCCTTCGAGCGTCGGCTGTGGAAGGGGCCTCCTGCTGCTGCGGCTGCGCAGCAGCAGCGGCACCTCGGATATCGCCAGAATGGAATACGCAGAGACGCAACAGGGGGTCCAACGCCTCGATCTTGGTCTTGTAGAGTCTCTCAAGCTCCGGCTGCGTGCTGCTTAGCCGTTTCAGCTGGATGTACACCTGCTGCAGCTGCTGCAGCACTGTTGCCGCAGCTGCCCACTGCTCCTTCTCCTGCTGCAACGCAGCTTCCATGGCGTACCGATACGCCAGCGCATCCAAACAGGTCCGGCCGTCGCACAGGGGGCCTTCATCATCAACGTCTACGCGGGGGGGCCCCTGCCCCTCCCCGGGGGCCTCGGGCCCCGTACCCGAGGGCCCCGGGCGCTGAGGGCCCCCAGAGGAGGCCCGCCCTCCCAGGGGCCCCCTACAAAGGGCCTCCAGCTGACGGGCATACAAAAGGGCCTTTGCAAACCGGCGGATCGAGTGCGCACGGAGCTTGGCACTCTGCAGCAAGAAAACAAAAAACGGCGCGCATCCCCAAGCTACCTGCAGCCCCTAAACACTCCCATGCCGCCGCCGCTGTACCGGCAGCTAGCTCGAGAGAGCAGCGCAAGAAAACAGCATCTCCAGCGGATGGTATGCGCAACCCCCAGCACACCAATTCTCAGGAGAGCCATCACACCCGCAGCAACACAACAAAGGCGACCCCTAGCAGCGCGGAGTACTACACATTGCCTTCTTTATCACCCCCAACACGACAATCTACAACAACACACAGGTGTAGCGGCGCTAGCATTGTCGCTCTTGAGCTGCATGCCATAGGCCCATGCCCGTTCAGCTTGAAGCAGCACCAACAACAGGTACCTGCAGAGTGAGGAAGCAGCAAAAGCAACACCAAGAGCAGCACATACACACACACATACATACACACCAGCGCTGTAGATACAACAGAAGCGCATGCATGACGCTGCTGCAGCTTCGCCAGAGGGGAGAGGCGAGCAGCCACTCAAACCTCCACGGGGAACGCGCGCAGCTGCTGCCTCATAGACAATAACATATCGAGAGCGGCGAAGCAGCGACGGCAGAAAAAAGGACATGCGTATCAGCCTAAGCAGCATGCATGCGTGGGAGCAGCAGCAACAGCAGGAGCAGGAGCAGCAGGAGCAGGAGCAGCTCAGATGCTTACCGTTCGTCGGTAATAATATCCGGTAGCGGCTTGGGCACGTATCGGTGTCTGCCATGTTTCGCATCCAAGTGTCGCCGTAAGCGGCCTAAGCGACGGGTGAGGTAACTCCGATATCTCGTATAATCCCTGTGTCTCAGGCCGTTCAGATCTCCCAGAACATGGGCTGTATACGTAATATCGAGAGACAGCGGACCTGCTGGGGTGGCTTCAGGTGGCGGCATGCAGCTTCCGCCTGCTGAAGGAGAGTCTTCTGCATCAATCCCCATGATTACACCTGCTGATGCTGCGGGTTTGTGATGCTGCTGTTGCGAATGTGGTCGCTCGCGCTGCTGCTGCTCAAGCTTTCAGGCGCATGCAACGGGCTGAAAAAGCGAGGCCTTTTTGATTGCTCCAGTGATTCCGCGGCAGCGGGTGTCTCCTCGGGCTGCCGCCGTATTTGCTGTTTTTGTAGGGTTGCTGCTGCTGTCTGTTTGTATACACACACAGGAGGCTCTCTGTCTTGTCTTACGGTCTGTTTAAAGCTTTGCATGTATTTAGCGCAGGCTCAGGTGTTGAAGCGGCCGGTCTATGCGCCCTCTGATTAGGGTCTGCATGCATGCACAGCAGCCGCAGCAGCTGCTGCCGCTGCTGCAGCAGCCTTTTGCTCCGGTAAAAAGAGTTGCTTGTTGCCAGCATATTTAGGCACAGGAAATTGTGAGTGGAGGTGATACACACGTTGCGCCATAGCTGCAAGCTTCCCGAAACACATAGGCCGCAGTAGACCTCGATTTCCCCTATCACCCCGCCTCCTACTCCACCGCCTCTCCACCTGCTCCTGCCACCGCTCTAGAGCCGCACATCTAGGGGATTCCTGGAGTCTCCTGTGGGTAATTCACAAACAAGGCAGCAGCGGCCCCCTTGAATAACAGGAGCTGCATCGTGGAAAAGATTGCTTTCGCTCGGGTGTCTCGTACAGTCGCACCCCTTCGCCTGTGCCTCCATTGAGGACTTCGTCCGTAACTGTTTACGGTAAGCTTCCTAGGCCCTGTTGTGCTCACAGACCCGCGTGTTGAGCCTGCCGCTCTGTTGCCGCTGCTGCCGTCTGGCTCGTACTGCTGCACGTGCAAGAATCCAGGCAAGCGGCAGCAACTAGGGTGCTGAAAGTGGGAATGCGTAGAGTGGCTCAGGTGCTTTCTCAGTTTTTTCCGCTATGAAAGGGATAGCAAAGGGCCTCGGCGGGGTGATGGCGGCGTGCAGCAGCAGGAGAGTCTGCGGTGGTAGGGGGGTGATGCGGTGGGCGGTGCTGGTGCTTGTAATTCGGCTGTACAGATGACGCTGCTCCGGCACAGTCTCGCACGCCTTTTCGGCAAAGGGGCCGTCGCCGTTGCGGCTGTCGGCCTGGTGTCAACGCCTGTAGACAGACGCCAGCTGGCGGTTGAAACTTTGCGTCAAGAGTTGGATGCGATCGATAGGGAACTCAAGGACTGGTGGCTAACCAGAAAGGTGGCGTTGGAGGTAAGGGGAGTGAACTGTTGCCGTTTATCCCGCCTGCTGCGTTTCCACTTTCTGTGTCATTGCTGGCGCCGTTGCTCAGTAGAGAGGGAGGGCCGTTTCCCCTATGCGCCTCCCGGTTCGCATGCAGCCCCTCTTGACCGCAAGCCATAGCTGCACCGGCAGCAGTCGGTGCTGCCTGGCTGCTGCTGCTGAAGCTGCACCGGTAGATCGCCTGTTACACGTGGCCCTCCGCATGCGCTTGCTGCAATGCCCGATGGGGCTGCATGCTGCGTGCTGTGAGCTGCAGAGGCATCGGTCTCTCCACGCTATGTTGATGCGGCACAACTTTGTGGGGCTTTCGGTAAATAGCGCAGAGCTGCCAGACGCACAGAGAGCTCTTTGGACCGATCTCGTGGCTGGACATGTAGGCCTCGTTGTGCTGTCTGTGAGGACGCGCTCTCCCGCCAGTGTTTTCGTTCTCCTAGTCGTTGCTGCATGGAGCGTTGCACGCTGTACTCCACCGGTTGTTACAGGCTTCCTTCTGCGGTGCCTTTGGCGTATGTCATGCAGCCTAAATTGGAGGACTCCCTCAGCGTGGATGCCCGCGAAATGAAGGTAGGAAGGGAACCCCCCCTACTTATTGATCGCTTTGTGGAGGTTGCCGTCGTCTGTGTGTATATAGGCATGGGTATATATGTGTGCGTATGTGTGTTTTTTGACGGAGGTGGAACCTCTATTGGTTGTTGCTGCTGATGCTCTTCTTTGCTACAGGCTGACCTCTACATGAAGATGCTCAGAGAGGCCGCGGACTTGGAGAGCCCAGTGTATGCACCAGGTACAGCGGGTGTGCGTACACCGCGGGTTTTGCTGTTGCACGGGCTGGATTTCCTCGGGGGAAAGGCTGCAGTTGAATGGCTGTTTGTGAAACCATGCGTAGCATGCATCGCGGCGAGTGCTACTGTGGCTGCAGGTATTGTCTACTTGCGATGCTTGAAGGATAACAGGACTGACACGCATGCGGTAGGCTTGATGGCGCCGCTGCAGCTGATGCTGCTTTTGTGGTGGAGATGCGTATTATTCGCGTCTTCGCGTGGCTTGCCTGGGGGCTTTCGGAAGCTGCGTCTGGATGGTGCTCGTCTTGTTGTGCCTGCAGAACCGCTCCGAGGTTTGTCAGTCCAAATTCGAGGCCTTCGATTCGGCAAGGCGCACGCTGCTGACTCAGCAAGAAAATGCTACAGAGTCCGTCATGGTTCGAATGTTTAGGGTTTGCATCCACGCAGGATGCCCGCCGGAAGGGCTCCACAGCTTCTGCTTTTGAGGTTATAGGGGGGTTTGCACGGTATGTGTCAATATATGTGTGTGCGTGTACGTTTATATATATGTGTGTGTATGTGTATGTATATATATATATGTGGATGTGGGTGTATGTTGGTGTGTATATGCGCTCTTCAGAAGGGCAATGGTCCAACAAAACATTTCAGATCTGCGGGCAAAGGTGAGGGCGGTGCCTTCTCACGGAGATGGCGCCTCTGCGACTGCTGCTGTTGCTGCTTTTTAGGTTGTTGGTATTCTCTGTGTGGGTTTGGGGAGGGGCAGGGGTGGGTTGGGCCCTGGCAGCTCTCACTAGTACTTCGATCACTGCTAGGCACATACGCTTAGTGCTTTCGTTTTTGTTGCTGCTTGGCTTCAGTCTCTGTTTGAGAGGCGCCTGCACGTCCTGTCTCTTCTTGAATCTGCAAGCGAAGCTGGAAAATGCTAGAATTCTAGAGCGAGCACATGTGGAGGGGCAGCAGCAACGGATATTACTGGTTTAGAAGAAGCTACAAACTTGATGGGGTTCGCTACTGGTAAATTCTGTGGTGGAGCCTGCTGTGTAAATCAGCAAGTAATGGCTCTGCAACGGCAAAGCAACTAGAAGAACGAGCAGCAATGACACCGACGGCAAATGCACGCACGGCGGTAGCTGACTCCGAATGCTCTTGCCGCTAGCGCGAGCGAGGCAGCCTCTGGGCAGCTCAGTAACAGACGCACCCCAGCACACGTTAGAGTCCTGGCCCTGTGGCGGCTGCTGCTTAGCCAACATACAGCCGTCGCAACCGACGATAGCATAACGTTTACGTAACACATTCCTATCTATCTTATCAGCAAAGAACCAGAATGACATGTGACGACAGTCGAGATTCTTTCGTGTGCGATTGTCTTACGTGCGACTGCGTGGGGTTCCCCCTAGTGCGCTGGGCCCATTCAGGAGGGGCTGAGTTGCTGCTGGTGAGAGGGTCACTTATCGCCATCATTCCGGTCCTTGAGAGCAACTCCACGCAACACCTGTTCCCCCAGAATTGGGGAGAAAGGCATCGAGATTGCGCTTGTAGATTGGAGACGGAGGCTTCTTTCTGTGTGCTTCGTTGCTACCCGCGTGTGCCCCCGTGCGTATTTCCCGTTTATTCCTCTCCTCATGGACTGCCCTATTCGCTCACATTGAATTCCTCCTCGAAGTTTCCTTGAGATCCATCCCGTGAGGTGTGTTGGTGGTCATTTTCGCCAGAATTTACCGAGTCGCTTCATCCCCTTACCCCGAGTGTAGCGAACCATCTAAGGCATTCATAGCCACTTCACTCTAGACTCTATGCAAATACTTTAAAGCTTATTGATGGTTCAAAAAAACCGCCCGCCTCCCCTGCCCGCACTCCTCAGAGCTCCCAGGAGGAGAGGGGACAGCTGGGGGGCAAATTGCTGCTCCGCGAAACACTCCTAGCGAGCACAGGTACATGCACCTAACACGGAAGGCGCACGCGCACAAGGATGCTTCCAGCTGCAATAAATCAGTTAGGCGAAGCAACAATTCAACTAGTCGGTGCCTTACTAATTCTTTGTTGAATATAGCTGGTCTAGTGCGAAATATCTATGTGTGGCTTAACCTGCTACACCCTCGACCCCCCCTGCAGAGCCCCGAGCCATGGAAAGCGTTTGCCCTCATGCTCCAAACCTGTACATCGAGAGCAACTGCATGCTGGACAGAAGGAATAACCGCCCCATCGTCAATCCTCCAGCAGGCAGAAACGCGAAACTGTTCAAATGAGGAAAGCAAAGGGAGCAATAAACGCTGAAAGGGAATCGACGGAAACGAAGAGACACACTCTAGCCCGTGTCGAAATAAGAAACAACCGCCAACACAACACTCTAGCCCGTGTCCATAAAAGAAATAACCACCGTGACCGCAGTGATGTGATAGCTCGCTGTCACCGTGGCGCTGAAATGTGTGAGCCTAGTACCGCGAGAAAACATGACAAGTAACTTGTGTAAATGAACTCAAGAACAAACTAGTCAGCAGTACATTCGCGCCTCACAGCGCAATGTCCACATACAAATGCGGCCGGTGCACGCAGGAGAATCGATTTTGAAGGACGGATAGATGCGCAGTGAAGATGTAGGGAAAAAAAATCCTAGGTTCCTGCACAACTGATCTGTGTGTGGAGAGCATCTTTGGAATAAGAGCTGACACCTTCACAGCATATAGAACATAATTATAACGCAGCTATTCCGGCAATGAAGAAGGCAAACTATCAGCGAGGAATGCCACCAACGATGCCTGCCATTGTTAGCCGAAGCAAGCCGCAAAATATTCCACAGGCAGCAGACCGCTCAACTGTTCCTCAGCCTGCCACTCAGATTGGCGTTCTCGATCCCAGTAAACTAGAAACTTCTGTCTACTGCATCCTCGGCCCTCGAAATTTCTACAATCCAGCACTTCCACGACTACCTGTGAATTATGCGTTGCCCTGTGAATCACTTGTCTGCAAGACAAAATTTGCAAAATATATTGAGAGTCCCGAAAGTTCTGAGGAAGCGGTTATTGAAAGTTCTGTGGTACCTCCAACTTTTGGAAAAATCTATAGATCAAGAAAGAGCATTGATTTGTGGGAAACTTGAATGTGATCCTCGCCACCTGACTGCAAACTCCTTCACCTGGTCACTTTCTGATGCAGCCTCTAGTGTCTGCCGAACCACCAAGCCAAATCTCGAGGCTCGAAACACACAGCCGACCGCCGCAAAGCCCACTGGCTCACTTGGGGCCTGTGCATATGTTCGCGTACATCAGCTAGCTGTCCATTTCATCTCTCGACTGCTAAGGAGGGCCGCTGACACCGGACTATTAGGTCCAGGCTTGAATAGGAGAATGGCTTCTCAATGTATACCATAGATGTGGGAGATTAACGTTTTGACACTCTGGATTTCGGCCATATAAGCCGCCATCTCGTAGAAGCCCTTTGCAGCCTTCACTAAAAAATCGTGCAGGAGACGCACAAGCTAGTGAATCGCTCTAGGGGTATCGAGCCCTTTGACCCCCAGAATAAGGTAGAGTTACGACGCAGGATAGGTCTGCAGGGTGAAATGACACCAGGATAAATAGTGCCGCCATATCTTAACAGCTCACCGCACCACATAGAAACTTTCCTATCATTGGCAAGTGCTCAGTTTTGTTGAAGCGATGAGAACAAGCAAGCATTTGACATTTTGAAGAACCCAAATCCTGTTAGGCGGGAAAAGCACTTAGCGTCAAGTCACTCGCATCGACTGTAAGAAAGAAGTGCTCACATTATCAAGCAGCGCGATTAATGGAGGAGCTGTACGACATCGCATGAGCGCCGTTGCTATAGCATCAGCCTCTTTTTTCAGGGAATAGACTGCGCTTTGAAAAGTAGGTTAGCCAAATGGGCAGCAATCCTAGCAAAGTCTGGGATGAGACGTTACTAATAAGACGCAAGCCAATACAACATTGCTACCTCTTTGCGGGTGCACAGAGGTAAAGACAACGGCGCTATTGCCCACCTTTCGCCAGAGCTGGCTCAGTCTTTTTGCAGCCATAGCACCGAAATCCTAGTACACAATTGTTCTCATGACAAGTGAGCACTTGCACGCTTTTACACCCCGCTGCTTGTTCCACTACAGCTGAAGCACTATTCTTTGGCGCTGAGGGTGTTCTCAAGCGTGTCGGCTAAACACAAAGCCATCACTCCTCCTTGATAGACTCATTAACGTTGTCTTCGATCTTCCGATGCAGTTCAGCTGGGTCCTCAACAAGTCCAAGGAGCTTTAAAAGATGTTCGACTTGCGAGTACGAAATATGTGGAACGTCATTTTTTGCATGTCATCTGGGCAAGGGGGGATTCGAAGGAAGGTATTTGTGAAGTAATACGTCGACTAGGCTGTTGAGCGGTGTATCGTGTCCGATAGGTAGCCTACATTAGGCCTTGCAAACCATCACAGGAATCTTGGTCAGGGGTGTAGAGCTTACGCACACGTGCCATCGTCCGTCCTTTTCCGGCATCGACACCGGATTATGCGCACCTGCGTTTATTTCTTCCTACATTTACCCTTTGAAGTAAATATTTTGTATGTTATTTAATTTCTTGATGCCGTGGGGCCTTTCGCCCCAGTGGAATATAGCTGAGGGATGCCCCGGGTATTAGCCTCACGCAATGTGTGCATCACGCAGTACGCTGGACGGCCAGCAAGTGGTCAGCCTGCTGGCAGCTCGTCATTATTTAGCGTGTGTGTAAACCTTTTTTTGAGGTGTTCACGTGCTGTTCCTTGGCTAAGAGCTCAATGGAATTCTCCAACAAAGAACCTGATGCAGAGTCACTAACAATGGGCATGCGTAGAGGCATATTCTTTTACTGCGCGTGAACACCCTGTCTCACCTTACGAGGTACCGCCTGTTCTTCTCTGGCTGAGTCACTGCCCATGTTGCAATGACCTGGCGCCACGCATCGATTAGACCCGTGAAAAATGCTTGATAAAGCAGCCACTGGTGTACGTTCTGGCTTTTGCAAAAAAAAGTAGCCTGCTCCTCTTGAAACTAATGTATTGATAGTTCACCTTGCTCCCACTTTCTCATGTCTTCCAAGCTTGGTATTAAACTGACCTCCAATTATAAGGATAAGCCAGGGCTTGTGTGGAGGTTTGAACTGTAGTAATATCTACAAGCAGACGACTGCCTCTATGTGAACGGAGCAATCATAAAAGTATTTCTCTAGCCGACGAACATGCAAAAAGGAACCGCGCTTTCTCTTTTTCCGAGGGTAAAAACGCGAGGTGCATTTCCAACTGCCCAAAAAAATCTTCGAGTACTTGCATGTCCTTGGGGCTGACATACTTTTCTGGTTGGCATAACCGCACTTTCGCATTTTAGATAAGCGGCATGTAAATCGTGGCTTTCTACTAGCTGTAGAGTTACTATGTTCACATCAACCTGCAGGTCGGCCTCTGCCAATCACCCCACCGAGCGTTGTGCGACCATATACTTCTGTCGCAAGTGGGTTTTCTTCCAGACTGGGGCCCAAAGAAATCAGTGACTGAATCAGCAAATAACTTTTTGGAGCCGAACACCTGTTGAAGGAAAAGCTGACACCTTACTGAGCCCGCAACCAGTGGATGGGCGAGCAACAGATGCATCGGACCATATAGAGATGCCAACTGTAGCTCTCCATTTGAAAATCTTTACAGGGAGGCACTTGACTCCAGAAGCAAAATAGACCTATTAGAATGCACTTTTTTGACAGGGTTTCCGTCTTCCCCCGCTCGAGCCCCTCAAACTTTTTTGGATGAGATGGAAAGGGACAACTGCGATGCGCGTAACTGCACCAGTTGAAGCATTCCGAGCACTCACAGGTAATTGCACATAGCATCTAGCGTGCACGCCCACAACACTGCGCCTTATTATATTGAGCAAATAGTACTGTGCAACAAACAAGATTTACGAACAGACAAACCGCTTAATCAACCTTTTACTGATTTTCAGCTTACTGTATCGGGCGTATATGGAAGTGGTTAAGTGTATCTTAGCCCGCTATAACAAGCGTGGGCAATCCTTGTACCGTTCACGCCTTGGATCTGCTCCATGAGGGTGTATCATTCTTTGGTTCTTGAGCACACCCGATGTTCTCCACCCCTTAAGAACCTTCCCCATTGCAAATTTCCCCAACGAAGTTGAAGTGCGTGTCCATTGTAGCGCAGGGAAGTATGCACTTTGACGCTTTGCAGCACACTAAATAGGTCAAGGTAGGAATTAGGGAACAGTTGATTGGGTGGCTCGTCTATTCAAGTATCTCGTTGCAGAGTACTGTTAGTTTCACACAATATGACGCAATATCGTGTGCATGTGCGTTAGCTGCTATGTGCAACTACCTGAGTTCAAAGTGCTTACAGAGTGCGGCTATGCTTAGCCTAGCAGTACCTTTCCCCAAGTTTCATAACCTAGAGGGAAGCAAGCAGCGAAGCTAGAAAGAATGCTCTTCTGGAAGGACGCTCATAAGCTTTCTAATAAGCTTAGAGGGTGGTCAGGAATGAGTATCGTCCTAGGGAGAAGTTCGATGGAGCGCCGCATTGCGGCCTCAACCAGTCTAGAGTTTGAGGCCCTCTCCGGTGGGCCTCAGATCCTATGTATGTCCTGAGATTCCGATGAAGTTCAGAGCCCAGGCTGCAGATGTAGAAGGGTAGTTGGCTCTTTCGGGGTGTGTATGTATGTAGGGTGGGGTCGGCCTTCGGAGTTGCTAGCGCTGCCTTCGATGCGTTGAGAAGAAGAAAATCCGCAGAAGCTGCCCTCAAATCGATCCAACTTGACTGTTTATGTTGGAGAGAATTCGCGTTGATGGCTTGGAGGGCGCATGTGTGCGTGTGTTGTGGGATTGCACTGGGGGGCAGAGGCTTCCCCAAAGCAGCGCTGTCGTTGAAATTCACTGCAGCCATCAGGAAGCAGTGCGATGGGCCCTAGCCACCGGCCTGCATTTCCCTACAATACTGGATAAAGGCACCTTTGAATACACATGCTCAACACTACAGCAAGAGGCTTCGCACCGAAGCAGCCATCGCTCACGCATGGCCGTGCAGCACTGGCGGCCGCAGCACCATAGCAGTTGCACCGCATAAATTGCGGCCGCTGCAACAGCAGCCCATGCGCAAGTTGCCCTAAACAGATGCTTCACGATATTTGTGTGTTTTCGTCCAATTTTATCCGCCCAACACACACTTTGAGCCTGGATGCACATTTTCCCCGAACGCGGCTTCCGCTGCAGGAGCTACAGCAGCAGCAGCAACAACCCCCAAATCCCAGGCAGACAGCAAAACACGCAGACAGTGTTGTCAAGTCCCTCTTGTTGAGCATGCATGTCAAGCTCTGCGACTCACTTCTAGAGGTCGTTCACCCGTTGTGCATGCTCCCCCCTGCGGCCGTGTCGTGCTGCTGTTTGATCGGGGTTTGGGGGTTTGGCGTTTAAGGGATTTTTTGCGACGAGGTGCGCCTTCTTGCGTGCAAGTCGTGTACGCTTTTCTTCGGAAGACTGCCGCTGGCGCCGCACGCACGCGTTGCCTCCTCCTGCAGCAGACAAGAGCAGGTTCTCTCGCATGTGTGTCGATAGTCAAGAGCAGCCATGCAGAGGCAACTGCTGCACATGCCCCCTTGAGGCAGCGGGATCAGCGGGTGCCGGAGTAAAGACGTGGGGGCCTACGAAGAGCCGCAGCAGGCATGGCTGGCTCCCCCGACGGCGAAGGCGGCGAGTGCTGTAAAGCGGCAAGCAGCAGCAGCGTCAGCAGCAACAGGCGATGGGCAGGGGCTAGCAGGAGGAACGCAGGCTGTCCGACTCATCTGCGGAAGGATTTGCTGCTTGCCGAGCAGAGCAGCGATGGAGCCGCAGCGGCCGAAGCCCGTGCAGCAGCGCTGGCTGCCATTGTGGCGTCTGCGACTGGAGCTGCGGCAGTTTCAACGGGGGATAGGAAGGCAGCAACAGTGACGCGGAGAGGTGAGGCTCCCGATGAGGGAGGGGGGGGAGGCCCCCAGCAGTGGTGTCGAACTCCGCGCTGGCCAGGCGGTAGCAGCAGCAGCAGTGCAGCAGCCGCGCACAGCGGCGCAGTTCCAGCTGCTGCTGCAGTCCAGTTTTTCACGAACTACAACTTGCTGCGATGGCAGCAGGTGCATCGCAGTGGGAGGCAGCAGCAGCACCGGACCCTAGCGGCAGCTGCCCGCTGCGGCCTGCTGCAGCGACACATCTCGGAATATCACAAACACGAGCAACGCACCAGCAGGCAGCAGTCTCTGAGAGACCAGCTGCAACATAGCGGCCACAGGATTTCTTCGCGGGCTTCCCCCAACTGGTGGGCAAAGTGCAGCCCTCTACACCACAAGCAGCAGCAAGAGCACCAAGAGGAGCTGCTGGAGCAGGTAGAGAAGCCAGAGGAGCAGGTAGAGAAGCTGCAGGAGCAGCTGGAGGAGCTAGAAGAGGCAGAAGAGCTGCACCAGAAGCAGCAGCAGCAACGCATGCACCTGCGACGGCGGTGGACACCGCGTCGCTTGGATTCCTCGATGGGTGAAGAGGAAGAGCAACAGCAGCCCAAGGCGAAGCCTGTACAGCCGCCTTTTCAGCACCAGCAGCAGCAGAAGCAGCAGCAGAAGCAGCAGCAGAAGCAGCAGCAGAAGCAACAGCAGAAGCAACAGCAGAAGCAACAGCAGCGGCGGCACCAAGTTTCTAGTATGGTGGGGAGGCACTCCAACGGCCGCAGTCAACGTTTGCAGCATCCGCAATTTGGCGAGCTTCAGGAGGAAAGCAGGAAGCAGCAGGAGGTGCCTGCCTCCGTGCTGTGGGCGTCTCAGGAGCTTCGGACTGTAGTTGGCGAGAGTGCTGATGAGGCCCTCTGGTTGCCTGCAGCTGCTGCAGTGCCGTCAGGCTGCCGCTCCGGCTGCAGACGATTTCGCAACAAGAGCGGCTTTAAGGGAATGCATGCAGGAGCCAAGAGTGGCCACGCGAGGATGGCGAGTTTGCTGTGGAACGAGGCATATACCCGAAGCTCGCAAGCCGCGGGGGAGAGCTGCCTTGAGCGGGTGTTGGTGAAGGCATGCAGCTGCTCTTGCGAAGTGCGGGACTGTGGCAGCAGCAGCGGCAACGGCGGCAGCGGCAACGGCGGCAGCGGCAACTGCGGCAGCAGCTGCGCCTGTTGTTACGGAGTCGTCTCTGGCAGCTGCAGCGGCCGCCAAGAGAGCCGATGCAGTTGCCGCGTCAGCAGCGGCAGCACTTTTCACAGTGGCAAGAGCAGCAGCAGCAGGAGTTCGACTGGACAGTTCAGTGGCTGTTGGTGCCGCCTCTGCTGCAGCGGCCGCTTTGGACGCAGCAGCAGAGGCTGCCACAGCGGATTACCCTGCACGGCAGCAACAGCTGCTGCTGCAGGCGTGCTGCCCCTCTTGCTGCTCCTCGATGTGGCTTCATGGGGAGCTCTCTCAGCGACCAGCAGGACTGCCTTGTGGGCGCTATCTATGTGCCGTCGAAGGCAGAGCTGCATGCTGCTGCTGCTGCTGCAGCAGCAGCAGCAGCTGCCCTTGTGGAGGGGCAGGGAGCCTTACTGCTGCTCCTTCCCGGAGGGGCCTCTGCTGAGCAGTGCAAGCGGCCGGCAACTGCAACTGCAGCAGCAGCAGCAACAGCAGCTGCTGCTGTATGACGAGCGGCAGGAGTATCAAGTGCAGAGCAGGCGTGCCCGCCCCCAGCCTGGCTTGCCCATCGCTGCTGGCGTATCAGCAGCCGTTGCACTGTCAGAGAAGAGTGTAGGCAGCTGTCTCGTCATCGGATGCAGCCGCAACGGCATTCAGCAGCAGCGTCTCACGTGTGCTGCCGCTGCGGAGGCGCTATTGCAGGCTGGCGGCCGTCTCGTGTCTGCACCGCTGTCTGCGGAAGGGGCTTTGCGTCAGCAGCTGAGCGCTGCCAGGGGTTGGAGCAGTAGACCCCCCTTGCTGCATCAGACTTTCCTCACGCAGCCTGTCGCGTCAGATTCAGGAGCAGATACAGGAGCAGCAGAAGACGCTCCTGCAGCGGGATACGCGCCAGCTTCGCCGCTGCTCTTCATGTGCTGCATTGGACGAAACGATACAGGTGACGGAGTGCTTTGCAGCAGCAGCAGCTTGCCAGCGGCGTCGCCGCTGCTCCTCTCCATAGACGCGGCCAACACGTGCTGCCTGTTCTCGCTTTCTGGAAGACTGGAGCTGCAGCCTAAACTCCGACGCTGCCTCCGACTTACACCCCTTATGAGCCGTAACACCCCCCCCTGGGGGCTCCCTCTGCACCAGCACGTCTCCCGCTGCTGGACTTCCACAGTGATGCGAATCCACAGCAGCTCCAGCAGCTACGGCGGCAGCAGCATGACGAGCAGCAAGCTGCTAGCCGGGCAGCAGGCAAGGCCTGCGTTGCATCCTTACCTCGCGGAGTCGGGTGCCTCCTCGCCAGCAGTCGTGGCGCTCTATGACGTGCAGCACGAGGTGTGCTGGGACGGGGACGACAGCAGCAGCTGCAGCAGCTGCAGCAGCTGCAGTGGCTGCAGCAGCAGAAGCAGCTCCAGCGAAACGCATCTTCCAGAGGTCCTTAGACCGCAAAACGAACTAGAACTTCCCCGGAGTAGTGGCAGCTTTGTTGTCGATCTTAGCCCGCTGGACGGTTCCGCGCTACTGCTGCAGCAACAGCAGCAGCATCAGCAGCAATACGGCGTTCTGGTATCCTCTGGAGCTGTTTGCATCGTGGATGCGCATCGCATGCAGGTCAGCTACAGTGCCTTGTGCGTAGGACCAATCTATTTATTGGCGTAGGGGGGGCGCCGTAAGGCTCTTTGGAGTGCTTCAGGCGCATGCCATGGGGGCCACATACATGCGTTAGGAGTCGCACTTCAGCTGTTGCTGTTACTGCTGTTGTTAGTGTTAGTGTTACTGTTGCTCTTACAACTGTTGCTGTTATTGCTGTTGAAAGTGTTATGGTTACTGTTGCTGTTATTGCTGTTGTTAGTGTTAGTGTTACTGTTGCTGTTACTACTGTTGCTGTTACTGCTGTTGTTAGTGTTATGGTTACTGTTGCTGTTATTGCTGTTGTTAGTGTTATGGTTACTGTTGCTGTTACTGCTGTTGTTAGTGTTATGGTTACTGTTGCTCTTAAAACTGTTGCTGTTATTGCTGTTGTTAGTGTTATGGTTACTGTTGCTGTTACTGCTGTTGCTGTTACTGCTTTTGCTGCTGCAGTGCATAAATCGTATGGACTTGCCGCGCTCGCTCTCCGCGTCCACAGCCTCAACAACCGTAGCGACACCTGCGGCAACACCTGCAGCAGCAGCTGCAACAACAGCAGCACCAGGCAGTTGGGCAAGACGCCTACTCCCCCTTTCCAGAGCAACGCAGGTAGTGGTGCTGCCTAGAGAACTGCGCATCGCGGATGCGCGCATCCCCAATCTGATTAGGGCAGCCTCGCTGCAGCCACAGCCAGAGCAACACTACCCCGCCTCTCTGGAGGAAGAGCTGGTGGTCGCTGCAGATATCATTGGTATGTGTATCTATCTGCATGTTATTGTGTGTATGTGTATGTAAATGTGTGTGCATGTATGAGTATGTAAATATGTTCAAGTATGTAAATGTGTATGTGCACGTAAATGTGTGTGTAAGTGTGTATGTGTATGTAAATGTGTATGTGTACGTAACTGTGTAGATGGGTAGATGCATATTTGCAAGTACCCTTTCCGCTGCGTTGGCTTCGGCATCTAGCGAGCGCTGGCAGCTCATTGCGCCGAACAGATGTATTATGGCGCAGAGGACTGCCTAGTGGTCTCTGAGCCGATCCGCGCATGTGCCGCTGCCGCGGGAGATGCCGTCAAATCTTGAGCTTCTGATTGAGATTTCTGTGCGCTGCAGGAGAGACGCTAGCAGGCCTTTCGGAAAGGGGCACTGTCTTACTTTTGGATTTGCGGAATTCGTCGCGCATGCGATGTTTGGCAGCCCCGCCGGTGCAATCCTTAAGGACAGCGCGCGGGGATGGATCTCTCGCGCCTTCTTTTTATTATCCTCCGGGACCGTACAGTGCCATTCCGCCTTCCGTCCTTACGCTGCGGAAGTTCAGAAGCGACAGCAGATCGGGCAGCAGCACGAGTTCCCCCGCCTCGTGCAGCACAGCAGACACAGGCGGAGAGATACACCCGACGCCCATCCCCTCGTACCGCGCTGCGTTGGAATCTTCTGCTGTTACCGCAGGAGCAGCAGCAGCAAGAGCAGCAGCAGCATCTAAGCGTTCGCAGCTACAAAAGGGCGCAGTGTCTGGGAGTGCGGCTCTCCAGTGTCTCTTGCAGCAGCAGCAGCAGTCAGTGGCTCTGCAGAGAGGCATCTGCGTCTCTTCTGCGGGGATACGAAGTCTGCAGTCACCTGGAAGAAGGCATGTCTCCGAAGTTGGGGCAGACGGCGTCGTGCACTTCTGGTGAGACGATGCCACGCTTTCGCATCCGCATTTTCGCTACCCGCTTTCCTCTGTCTTTTTTTCCGTGAAGGACTGTTTCTTCGCCGCCGGGGCATTGAAGTGCCTTTCCGCATGTATATGTACATATATATACACACATATACATGTATATATATATACATTCATATGCGTATATATATATAGTTGCATATCTATACAAACGCGCACATATATATGTATATATGTATACATAACGCTATTGTTTTCCCGGGTATGTGGAACGAGCTGTATGAATCTGTTTCCTGGGATGCATGTTTGCGCCTGGCTGCCTTGTCAATTGTACCTTTCCTTCTGCATTCATATACATTTCTGTGTATATTTATATGTATTATATCTATGCACACACATGCGGATAAGCGTCGTTGCCTGTAATCGCCTAGTCATCGTTCGTGCGTCTTTTCGTCTGCTTGGAAGCGCTACAGTTTGCCGACCAGCCAGCCCGCCTGTTTTCTTCTGAAACGTTTTCTTGTGGCGATGCCTTTGACGCACACCGCCGGTAGCTGCGGCTTCTTCTGCTGCGCTGTGCTGCTTAGGCATTGGGGAGCGTCACGCCCCTGGCTTTCTTGGGTTGTAGAGGCAGCAGACTGCCCTTCCCCCGCAACTCCAGGCTATGGTGCGTGCAAAGCATTTTCTTGTCGCGTTGCTGCAGCTTCTGTGGGGTCGCCTGCTGATGCGGGCAGCGAGCAGGGAAGGCGCAGTGGAGTGGGGAGGGGAGGGGAAGGGCTGTATTTTCCGAGACATGCATGTGCATCGGTGGACGTGGGTGTGTGCTTGTCGATTGCATGTTTTGTGTGTGTCTTGATGTGTGCGCGAATCCACTACAGATAGCCGGCTTGCCTCTTTAATACCATTGGCTCCTCTGCTGCCTTCACACTGCCTTCTCACGAGCCTCTACAGCCCTACCGCGCGGCTCCTCCGGCTGCCATCTCTGCAGCTGCTGCCCTCTTCCATGGACACCCTCTATCCTCTTCAGCTGTAGTTTAACTGCGCTGCCCATAAATTTATTACAAGGAGGGCCGCGTAAAAGCTTGCATCCATGCAGTTCCATGTGGCTTGTGTTCGATGGGTCTGCCTGCTACGGCAGCGAAAAAACGCAGCAGCAACAGCAAGAGCAGCAACAAGTCGCTGGTCGTACTCAGCGGCGGCAGGTGGGCGCGAGTAGGCATGTGGCCATGGGAAACAGTGTAGACTGCCGAAAGTAGCGGCCAGAAAGTCTTTTTTCCTTTCTGTGCGTATAGGTGATCGTGTTCCTGCGTAATCGCATGCGTGTGTCCATGAAAGATACGTGTACTTGCTGGGTGGGGGAATATTGAGAAGGCTCTAGGGGTCTCGCGAAGCTTGCGCAGCAGCAAGGCAGCAGTTTCCTGTACATTGCTGGCTGCCAAAGCAGGGTTTAACACCGAGCAACCCTTTTGTTTCTCCTGCAGCTGCACCTGCAGCGGCGTTTTACGAGCTTGGTATGACTGAATACGATCTGGATGTGTGGCTCCTACTTCAGTTCAAATGCACATAAAACGAGTTACCGCTCGGCTGCTCTATCTGTGGCCACTGCAGGCCCTCGCACAACAACGCGCCTGCCGCAATCTTCAGGGGCTGAAAAGGGAATACAGAATTGCTGGCCTTTCGGTTCTGCCTACGTCTGGCTCGACGCGAAAGGTTACGGGTGTAGCCCTTTTCCTGCTGCTGTTGCCGCTGCTGCTGCTGCGGCGGCTGCTTCTTACAGGGTTGTTGGGACAGCGGCCAGTGCTCTCCAGCTCCTACCTCTGCTGCGCTGCTGCAGCAGTCTCACTCGAGTGCTGCCTCCTGCTGCTAGTGCTGCTGCTGCTGCTACTGATGCTGCTACTGCTGCTGCTGCTGCTGCTACTGATGCTGCTACTGCTGCTGCTGCTGCTGCTGCTGCTCTTTGCCGGGGAGGCTGCGACACCTCCGGAGCCTGTGCCCCCTGCACTGCTCGAGCATTCATGCGCGCCGTTTGTGCTGCCTTCCCTCCCTATGTGGAGGACAGCACCGAGGCTCAAGCACATTTTGATCGCACTGCTTTTCTTGCTTTCTCCCCGATAGAGGCGGCCGTGCACAACACGAGCCGCTGCAGCAACGGCCAGCCAGCGCAATAGGCCAGTGCGTACTGCCCATTTCGTGTCGTGAAACAGCTCTTGCAGCTTTCCCCCCGCCTCCCAAAACAACAGCAGCGGCGTGGCGGCAGCCGTTGCTGCTGCCCTGTCAGCAAAGGCTGTGTAGTCGGAGCCAGAGCCTCTCCACGGCCTTCAGCGTCTCATGAACCTCCTGCGAAGGCCACACCAGGCGCGCAGGGCAGCGTCAGCGGCACACACGCACCCTGCAGAAACCCTAAAAGCCGCTGCACCGCCACGCCCTTTCCCTAAGCAACGACCATCATAATTGGCCAGAGGAAGTACCTGGAGGAGCATGGCGCTGATGCGGGCGGCCCACACCGATCGCTCGCGTTGGCAGTCGAGAGCCGTCTGCAAAAATGCACGGGCAAACAGCACAGCCAGCAGAGCGGTGGCGAACGGACGCTTCCTTGCAGAGCATTCGGGAACGCGAGGTTGCAAACGCGTCTATCGCATGCAACAACAGCAAAACTGCAGCATCAACAAAGACACGCGGATTTCCGATCCACCGAAAAAACAGTACAGCAACACCAAGGGGAGCAGCACCTGAAGGGCATCGCCCGATCTTTGCAGCAGCCGCCACAGTTGCGTCACGGGATGTAGGCGCAGCGCGTCTTGTGGTGCCTCCCTACCCAACTACACAGAGACACACGCAACGGCGGCACAGGAGAACAAAACGTTTAGCCAGCACACGCCTCCAAGACATCGCGTCAGAGTAGCAGAGAGCGGGGGGAGCACACCCGGCCGGAAAAGGGCTGGAATAGCGGTGACAGAAGGAGCAGATGGAGTTGTTCTTGTTTTAGCAGTGGTCGTCATCATAGCAGCAGCAGTAGTAGCGGCAGTAGTTACAGGAGTAGCAGCAGTAGGAGCGGCATTTCTACAAGCCTGACCCCATTGCCGTCGCCATTCACAGGCTGGTGCTCCGCGCATAGCAGGGCCAAAGAGGCTCGGCCCGCCTGCTGAATTTTTGATTGCGCTACACACCCGCAAAACCGCAACAGCACCCAACCAGCAAATGCAACGGTTAAGGAGAAGCAGTAAACGCTCCGGCTGGAAACAGCTACAAGCTTGCCGAAGGGGCCTTTGCTGCCTCCGCAGCGCACACCGTGTTGCCCCAACCGCGAGACGTATCCCACATCAAGAGCAACAACTGCAACAACCTCAGATCACCAGCAGTATCTCAGTAACAGAACCACAACCGCAACAGCGAGACGTCTCCCTATTCAAGAGCAGCTCCAGCCACGAAGCACAGCGAAAACGCGCCCCGTACAGCGGCAGCAGCACCCTACACCAGAGATCTTGGCCGCATGCGAAGAGCCTGCAGCAGATGGGGTGCAACTTGTTGTTGCATCCGACAGCCGCGCACGGCAGCAGGATGCCTCCCGTCCACAGACACAGAGCACAGCGGCCATCGAAGCGTTCGTCGGGCACCGAGCCACACCCGAGAACGCACAGTCTCCCGTTGTTGTTGCTGCTGCTCAAGCTGCTGTTTACTTTGTGTGTGCTGCCGGCAGTACATCCACTTTGCATGCCTTGAAATGATGGCCCTTGACTGCTGTCACTGCTGAGCGCCTTGGAGGCCTCATCGCTGCCGCAGTTGCGATTGCTCCCTCTTGTAGAGACTCCCGGGAGCGGCTCTCCGGCAGCCCGCATACCGCCAGAAGCGGCAACAGGTAGAGACGCTGCGCTTGCTCCACGGCTAACTACTTCCAACTCGGGGGTCCAGAGAGCACATGCAACATGCACCCAAGGGCCTGAGTCCAGAGGAGAAGCAGCACCACACGCCGCAGTAGGAGAGAGAGAGAGACAAAGAGAGAGACAGAGAGAGAGAGACATAGAGAGAGACAGACAGAGAGAGAGACAGAGAGAGAGACAGACAGAGAGAGAGAGACAGAGAGAGAGACAGAGAGAGAGACACACACACATACACAGAGAGAGAGACATACACACATACACAGAGAGAGACAGAGACAGAGAGAGAGAGGTCACTCGCCTAGATAGCGTGAAGCCTACAGCCGCAGCAGGAAGGGGTAGCAGCAGCCACGCTTACCCTCCACAGTTCGCACAAGCGCGCCAGAGCGTCTGGGACAGAGCCAACAGCAGCGGGGGAAGGGTGCGTGGAGATCTTCCTGTGGCCGCATTTTTGTGCTACGACTGCCTCTGCTGCTGCTGCTACTACTGCTGCTAGGTGCAGGGAGATGACTAGCCATTGCCGCTTTCGCTGCTGCGGCTGCTGGCTGCGAGGCCTCTCCCGCTGCTGCTTCGGCCGCCGCTACCTCTTGCCTTAGCACATCTTGGCAGTAATCGCAGTACCAATCTCCTAGAAAAAAACACCCGCAAAAAGCAACTAGATCAGCGTGAAAGCGGGGGAGGAAGGGCGAAGAGGGATGGGGGAAAAGCCAGCAGCGAGGCGCCTATTAGCTGCTCTAAGGCGCAAAAACAATCCAGCAGCAGCAGCAGCAGCACCCTTTGCCAGAATGCATGCAGCGCACCTGGTGGGACAGCTTCAACGCCATAACAATTCAGGTGGACGGGCACATCGCATGCATCGCAGAACAGAATGGCGTTTTCCTGCAAAAGAGCAAGGCTTCGACTCAGAATCTGCTCTCACATATACCCTATACCCGCAAGTCCAGCAACTCTAGCCCTCCGGCAAGACACCCTCCCCCCGTCGTCGTGCATGCACACCTCTGTGGCTTCTGCGCCTCCACAAACGTCGCACTTCCCAGGAGCTTCAGAAAGCTCTTCCAAGATTCTCTGCCAGAAGGCTTGAGCTGCAGAAATTCTTTGCTGTGTCCTCCTCAAGCGAGCGGCGCGTCTCCTCTTTCCTAAAGGGGAAGCGGCAGCAGCAGCAGGAGTCAAGATTTTTTTCCCCAAAACCTTGGTTACGTTGGGAGAAGAGGAACATCGATGGCCACTAGCCCCTTGCACAGCAGTCTTGCTGCTGCTTTCACGGCTGTGGCTGCTGCGGATTCGGGAAACTTTCGTGCTGCTCCGAAGGCTGTAAGTCGCCGCGCGTGTCGGTACAGACCGCGTGCGCGTCTGAATTTGGGGTGTTGCTGCAGAGGCTGCTCCGGCTGTTGCGGCTGCAGATGCAGAGGCTGCCGCAGCAACTGCAGCAGAAGGCGTGGGCCATGAAGGCGTTGCACCAACAGGTTGTGCTGTAGGGGGTGTTGGTGCTGCCAGATCCATTGCTCCTGCGCATGAACGCTCATGGAATCCCAGTTAGAGCCTCAATCGCATCGCGCCAATGCAATGCCGGCCGCCCAAGCTGCCCTGGCGACAGAACAGAACAAAGCAGCAGCAGCAGCAGCAGCGATTCGCAATTCGCATCCCTCCAGTGAGGCCACACACTGAGCTTTTCATGCATTCGAATAGTCGAAGTTCAGCTTTTCTCGCAAGTTGCATGCGTTTTAAGGCGCCTTCTGGCTAGCGTGAAGCTCCCAGAAGGCTTCCCCTGTACAGAAGGTGGGCCCCCCCGGGGAGGGCCCTTGCTGCCTTGGGGGCCCCATGGGAGCAGGGGCCCCCCGGGGGATTTTCACTAGCTCAGAAGCAAAAGTCGCAAGCATTCCGTTTCATTGACAGAGGAGTACTTTTGCTAGATGCAGTGAGGGCGGAGCCCTAGTAATTACATGCATGCGCCGTGTAGCGGGCTTTTCTCTCTGGGTGGCCTACTGCGAGAGAGCACGACCCCTTCCGCCTAGCTTCAATGATTAGTCCTTCCAGTACGGAGTTTCAGCGGCTTTGTGCATTTTAAGGTGGCGCACTGACCCTGAAGTGTAAGCGGCTTTGGAAGTGTGCGAGAAAGGCCCCCTCTGCAGCTGATGAACCCCCCGAAGGCATCGATATACCCAGGAGCAGCAACTGCAGCGGCGGAAGCAGCAACTGCAGCGGTAGAAGTAGCAACTCCAGCTGTGCGAGCAGCACCTGCAGCTGTAGAAGCAGCGACTCCAGCGGCAGAAGCAGCGTCAAACCATGAGGGAGAAAGGGCAAGCTCAGCAAGCGAGGGCTCCCTCGTGGATGCCTTGCGAGCGCTGCAGTGCGCAGCATCGGTCTTGGAGGGTGGTTCAACTAGTCCTCGGAGCAACAACAACGAGAGCACCGGTGCACATGCAGCCTCTTCTTCTAGGCTAAGCCAGGCTGTGGAGAAAATTGCCAGAGCAATGGAAGCCCTGGCAGAGGAAACAGCGGAGGGAATTCCTTTAGCGAAATCGACATCCTTACCAGGAGCTGAGAGGTATGCTACTCAGCTGAAGGTTCAAGTGCCTCATGGCGTATCGGTCTTAAAGGGCAGCAGCAACAGCAGCGGCTTGTGCTGTTGCTGCCCATCAAGTGAAGTCTCGTACTTGTATTTCGCGGCTGCAAGGCTTCTGCAGCATTTGGACGCCTCTGCAGTTGTTGATGCCGCTAGAAGGAAGCGATTTCACAGGGCCCGCATTGCAGCTGCTGAAGCTGATAGAGCGGCGACTGCACCGTGGCGTTACTTGCTCTCCGTCGGAAGCCGTTCCTTGCTTCTTCTTCTCACAGAGTATGTCTTTTTGCCGTTCAAGCATGCCTACCTCCAGCAGCAGCCTAATTACCACCAGATTTTTGTCGTGCAGCTAGCGGGCCTAGCGTGTCTCTCGTTGCGGCAGTGGAGTCAGCTGCAGAGGGTCATTACTTTGCTGCATGGGGGCTTGTTGCAAGTCTCAGCAGCAGCAGCAGCAGACACGGAGATACATTGTCTACCGCTAGCGATCATAGAACTTAACTGCTGCACGCAGCCCGCAGCAGGCGCACCAGAAGGCGATGCAGAAGCGGCGGATCAGATGCTGCGGCAGCTCCAAATATTCGCCCTCTCACTGCATCAGACGCAACACGTGCGTGTATACGCTTACGGAGACGCGCCACTGCAGGAGCAACGGCAACAGCAACAACAGCAACTCCCAAAGCAGCAGCCGCGCTGTTTGTTGTACGCCGGAGGCGACGTCCTCTTAGAAGCCCCCCCTTTGCCTCCTCAAAGTCTATGCAGCAAAGCCGTAGCGCTGCTCGAGCAGCTACGCCAAAGGCTACTGCTGCCGATGCAGCTGCGCATGCGATACTTCACTCGCGGTGGCAGCAGCGAAAGCAGCAGCAGCGACTGCAGCACGATCAATACGGCTCGCAAGGGCGACCTGATAGAGTCGCTATTCTATGGACAGAGGGGGGAAGCTGCTCCTCCCCGCCTGCTAATCTATGGCTGCGGCAGAGCACCATCACTATCAGGTGCGTGTTCTTCTGCGGCTGGCACAAAAGCGGCAGTTGAGCAGCAGCAGCAGCTGCCGCAAGCTGGCGCCGTTCACCGGATAAGCCCTCAGCAGCTGCTGCAGCACCTCTTTACCCTCCCAGAAGCTGCCGGACTGCAGCTGCTAGTGCTGCCGTTGGCGGCTGTTGTCTCACCCTACGTGGGAGACACCGAGCAGCGCCTGACGCAGCTGTTTGCGGCTGCTGCGGCTGCTTCTCCCTGCGTGCTGCTGCTTCTTGGCGTGGAGCGAGCAGCAGCAAACAGGTCAGTCCTCTCTCCCTTCCCCCCCAAGCTACAGCTGCAACATCCCCCGCATCAGCAAGGAGCAGCAGCATCCAGAAAGGGCCCCCCTTCCCAAGGCGGCTCTAGCCGCAGCACCAGCCAGCGGCGGCTGCTGGCCGCGCTGCTGCTAGCGCTAGACACTCTCGAAGACAAAAGGCGACTGCAGCTGCAGCAGCAACAGTCTCCGCTGCACGGGGGATTGCAGGACACACAAGGCACCGACCAGCAGCAGCAGCCGCCACCGCTCCCCCCCCAAGGATCCGTTGTTCTTCCTCGCCTCGGCAGCAAGGAGGACGAGAAGCTGCGAAGGCTTTTGGGAGGTCCCTGCCCAGCAGCTGCGGCTGGTGTGGCAATCGTTGCAACAACGCAGCTGCTGCCAGAGGAGCTGGACTCTGCAGTTGTGCGTGCCGGCAGACTAGACAGCTGGATACCCTGGGCATAGTCTGCTGCTGCTACTGCAGCAGCAGCAGCTCGTCACAGGCCCTTTAGACACTGCGTCAGCCGGCCTTTAAGGACTTGTGCCTTGGTCCCCCAAGCCATCCCAAGGTATCGGGGAGGAAACTCCCAGCGTTTGCTGCTGCTCATGGCAGCAACAAACGCCCGACTCGAGTGTCATGGCAACACACGTGTCACCTTGCAGCTGCTCACAGACCTGCAACTGCTGCAGGCCACTGACCCACAACGTGCAACACGCACGGCATCTCTTCTGCATTGGAGCACCCGCACGTTTTGCTATTTCTGCATGTAAACTGTTTCTTGTAAGTGGATCCTTTTATCCGTACAACTGCTCCCTAATGTCAGTCAGGGCTCTGCTGCGGCATTGAATGCAGAGAGTGCGTTTTGGAGCAGCAAAAGCCGCTGCTGTAGCGAAAGGCGCTAGAACGCAAGGCCTACGAAGAGAGTGGAGCAACACACGTGTCGCAGAGGTGTCTATTGCCCCCTTGAGCATGCAGATGATAATGACCGGTAGCAGAGACTCGCGTTGCACCAGAAACAGTTGCACAGCAGTTGCTTCAAAATAGGCATGGCCCTGCACTTGCTGCTACCTTTCGCCGTCCGCTCTCTCCCATGCGGCGCATGCTGTTGGTGAAATTTCATAGCAGCAGCGCTAACAAAAGATGATGCTGACGCTGCTGCCGCCAACACGCGCCTGCTCAGTCCGTGGTTGTGTCTACCCAGGCTTCTGCCTGCTGCATGCATTGTTGCAGTAACTCTCTAGCCTCTGTGACTGCCAGCCGGCAGCTCTTAAGCGCTGTCTTTTGATGCCCATCTGCTGCAGCGGCTATGTGTTGCTGCAACTTATGCAGCTGTTGCTGCAGCTGCTGCTGCAGAGGAGACGAAAGGAAGGGGGCACTGTTGAAGGTTTGCAGCAAAGCCAGCGCCGATTTAGCTGCAGTGCTCAACACTTCATGCGGCCTAGTTGCCTGCCTTCGCTTGTGCTTCTTCTTGTCTTCGTCCTCGCTAAAAAGACTGCCCTCTTCCTCCTGATGCAGCTGCTGCAACTGAGGCAGTGGTGGGACGCAAACAGTGACGTGCAACGGCAGCCAGCTGATGAGAGAGATATGCTTTTTTCTGCTCTGCACTTGAACGCCTACCCAATACCGCTGCTGTTTCTCTAAGACCAGGGGCTGGACCGCCGGAATGTCAAGGTAGATCTCGTTGCTGCTGCTGCGGCCTGCTGCTGCAGCTGCCTCGTCTGCTGCTGCAGACAGCAGCACCTCTTTGTGCATTACACAACTCAGGTTGCCCGCATCTGGCTGCAGCGCTACGGGGGGGCCCCCCCTTACCGGGCGGTGTACATACACCCAAACTTTCGTGATGCAGCGGAAGGCGGATGCTGCCGCCGCTGCAGCAGCGGCATCCGCACCGTCCTCGGGGGCGGCTACAGCAGCAGACGCAGCCTGCACATACACTCGGAAAGCCCCTGTCGCCTTCCGGCGAAGTAGTACCTCTACTGTAGCATCTGGCATGTAGAGGGTGTTCGGTATCTGCACCGTGTTGTTGCTGTTGGTGGTCTGATTGCTGTTGCCACTGCCCGCAACCGAAGAGGCGCTTCCAGATGCTGCCGTAGCAGCGGGGGCACCTGCCGCTAGCCCTGTTGCCGCCGTTCCCGATGCTGCTGCTGCTGCTGTTGTAGCTGCTGCTGCTGTTGCAGTTTCTACACTTGGTGGCGGGGGAGGCGCCGTCCACAGGATATCCATCGTGCGAGAACGAAGCATGCGCAACGCTTCTACGCAAGCCTCCTCATACTGCAGGAGACAACCGGCAGCAGCGGCAAAGCAGGCAGTGTGAGGCTACGTGGGTGCGGGAGCACAAACACCAAACATAGTGCGATCGCCGCAGTAGCAACGCCGCAGTAGCAGCAAACAAAAAGGCCAATTATTTTCAGTTTTCTGAATTACCAACTGCCGCCCCAAATTGCTGTGGCTTGAGCCCCTCATTCTTGTTGTGCGCACGCACTGCTTTAAATGCCTCCGTGGCTTGCTGTTGCAAAGACACCTCCTGAGAGTGATGGAATTTGTCAGGATGCAACAAGGCCCTCCATTTCTTCCTTGCCGCCGCAACCTGCGGCAGCACAGCAACTGTCTTAGAAAGTGAACTGCAAACTTTGGTTGCAGCTGCATTCCCAACACTCCACAGGATACCCTAGAAGCAGGTCGTTTGCTTCCCCGCTGTGATGGCTGCTGTAGGTGCTGCGCGTGTCTCGGCCTTACCACGGCTTCGGTTGCCGTGTGTGGATTGACGCCTATCAGGTAGAAGGGGTGCCCGATAGCTCGGCTGCGAGCAGCAGCAGCAGATGCTGCAGTCGTTCCAAGAGGCGCTGCTGCAGCGGCTGCAGCCGCCTGCTTCTGCTCCTGCTGCCGCTGCAGCACGAAAGCGACACAAGCCCTAGAAAAGGCACTCCGCCGCAGCAACTCCTGCTGCTGCTGTTGACGTCGAATCTGCAGGCACAAACACCGCTCGCTGCAGGAGGCAGCCAGAAGCGCATTCGCGAGGCTTTTTCGCAACAGCAGCAGCAACAGCACAAATTCAGGAGCACGCATGCTGCCGCTATGCAGCCAACCGACTCGAGGGGCACCCGCGTGTGTTGCTGCAGCTGGTGCTACTCCTGCAAAAGGAAGCGCAGGAAAAACGCAGATGCTGGGCAGGGGCAACATTTTCTGCAGTACCTGCTCTGCCCTCCACCTTTCTGCCGCTGCCTGCAGCTTGGCTTCAGCTTCACGTGCAGCGGCAGCTGCGTTCTGGCGGTTGCTGCCTATGAGAGGCATGTTCTGCCGCAACAGCGAGAGGGCACGACTTAGCGCTTCCTCGACCTGCAGCAACAACAGCAATGCCCACAACAACAGCAATGCCCACAACAACAGCAATGCCCACAACAACAGCAATGCCCACAACAACAGAAATGCCCACAACAACAGCGAAATCTGCCGTATTTCTAGGGGGGAAGGGGGGGCGGGATCGAGGGAGATGCACAGAGTGCGGCATCAACAGCAGCAGCAGCGACTTGCGGCGGCAGAAATCGTGTGGCTGCCCACTGTGCTGCTGCTGTTGTTGCTGCTGCTGTCTCCCAGGATGGATGGCAGGTCCTGAAGATAGCTGCTGGCCGCGATTCGGTTTGTAAGAGCCTCTCGTTCTGACTGTGCTGCAGCAAAGAAACGAGACCACTGCCGCAGCAATAGCAGCTGCTTGCTGCACTGCTTCCATAGGATTTCATCCTCTGATCCCACTGCGGCAGCAGCTGCAGAACGACGGCAAAACGCAAGGAGTTGGCAAAAGGCTGCAACCCGTTGATCCATCAGCGCCTGCCACTCGCCGGTGCTGCTAAAGACCTCCGCTTCGGACGCTGCTGCTGCCTGTACACCCGAGAGGTTGGAGAAGCACAGGCGCATGCAGCTGCTTGCTGCTGCAGCAGACTCGGCACACTTTATGGCCTCCGGCACCGAAGGGATGCATTGCAGCATGGATACCAAAAGGGAGAGCATTTCTTGCAACAGAACGCCCCCACTCGATAGCCGCTGCAGTCCCCCTGACGCTGCTGTATCTCCACAGCCGCTAGCTGGAGGAGGTTCAGTACGGGCCCGTTTGGCGGGAGGCGACTGCTGGCCGTCCTCCGCATTTCCTTCCTCCAGCTGCAGCTCCTGCTGCTGCTGTGCAGGCTTTTCGTTCTCTAGATCTCTCTGTTCTTCTCGCTGCTGCTGCTGTGGCTGCTGGGATTCCGCTTTTGCTGCTGCTGTCGACCTGGGGGGAGCATCAGCGTCTGCTGCTTTCCGCTGTAAGCACTCGTCCAGCAGTTCTGCAAGGGCATGAGTTAGCTCTTGCTGCTGTTGTTCTTGTAGCAGCTGGTCCTCCTTGAGGGCTGCCGCAGCCTCCGCTGCAGAATACCCACTGCGCAACAGCCGCAGCAAGAGCAGCCGGCAGACTGCGACGCCAGAGGGGGTGCCAGCTGCCTCGACTTCCCCCATGGCCCCCAGCGCGCTGACACGGGGAAGACTGCCGCACCTGCTGCTGGTGGAGTGTCAGGAAGCAGAGCGCAGGCAGAGCTTCTCTCAGCGCAACGCACACGGCCGATCCTCTGATGTTGCAGTTGCCGCTGCCGCTGCCGTTGGTGCTGCAACGCGAATCCCCGCAGCGGCCCTCGCTGACGGCCAGGGGCGCTAGGCTGCAGAAGAAGCGGCTTACGGCCTTTGAACGAGGAGACACGACGTAGAGCGTTTCGTCTACGCGTTTGGAGGCATGCGTAGAAATCGAAGGTTGTCTTGCTGGTGTTGCCGGTGCCGCAGCTCTCTGCTGCTGTTGCTGCGGCAGCAGCATCAGCAAAAAAAGAGGGGGTGTTTGCTGTTAGAATCACAGCAACCAAACGGGACTGCCTCTTCATTCAATTCCAGAAGGCTCCCAATGCGGCGGGCGGTGGGGTCGGTGGGCTGGTGGCGTAGTAGTACTGGTGCTGCTACGGGTGCGTCTGCGTCTGCTGCCTTGACTCTTTCCAAGTGGATATACCCATAGCTTGCAATATTTAACGATATTTAAAAAGTTTAACAGGAATAAACAACCTGCTATCCCTTTGCTTAGCAGTTGCTACAGCAACGAGTCTCCTCTCCTCCAGCGCTGCCATTGCGGCCTGCGCATTATGAGGGTTTCCTCCTCATCGACATGCTGCTTCAGCAGCAATCCGTGGTGGTGATGCGCACATCTCTCTCATTCGAAAGGGCCGACATATATGTGACCGCTTCTCCCATTGCTACCGCTTTGTTTATTACGATTAACTGTGGATCTGGAGAGGGAAGCGATGGTGTGTCAGCGGTTCCCGTTTGATGCTGCCGTCGGGACCATTGCTCGGGTGCTTGTGGATATAAGGGGATATTGCAACCGTGCTGCATGACTCTCTTTAAACCTGGAATGAGCAACAGAGGACTCTACCGTTTTGTTTTGCCACCTCCTTTTCATTCCTGCATCGCCGTTGTGCACAAGCAGCGCTCGAGTGCAGCCACCTGCCCCAGCAACAGCACGAGCAGCAGCAGGAGCAGCAGCTCGAACGGATTGTTGCCATCCTATGGCATGTTTCTTTCCTTCTAAGGCCTTTGCTGCTGTGCACATGAACTGATATGACAGCACCGATGACGAGTGCGGACGGGGTCGCCCAAAGTAGCAGCTGCTGCCCATGCCAATGGCTGTTGCTGCTGTTTCTATGCATCGGCGCACTGCACACAATTTACGCTGCGAAAGCTTTGCGATGGGTGAAAAAAGCCGCAGCAGGATGGGAGACCCTCACTGAAGAGGAACGCCTTCGCTATGGGCCCTTCGAGAGGCTCGACTGGAATTCTCTTTCCACCTCAAAGATCCTACTTGGCGCCTTTTTCCTCGTACGTTTCGAGTATCATAAGGGCGCTACCTAGACGCTAAGATGTACAGTCTATGACTTTGAAGTTCGGTTCATTCCTGTATTGTAGTACGTGGTGCTGGGCAGTTGCATTAGACGGACCTTGCTGCTGCTGCTGCTGGTTGTTGTTGTTGCCGCTGCAGGCGCCAATCCGCTTTGTGATTTTGATTCTCATCCTCGCGCTGCACAACATCTCCGGCCGTAAGTGCTCAGTGGGCAGCACTAAATACAGCTTTTAACAAAGTGGCTGCATCGCAGATGCATCAGCTGCAGCAAGTGTGATTGCATGCAAAACGCATTTTGGTAGGTGGTGTTGCGATATTTCTGGCCATTCAGGCTTTTTAGCCGTTTACTACAGGCTTGGAGAACACTCAAATCTGAAAGAACTCGGAAAAAGGAGGTATATTTACGAGGCGCTGTCTTCTTTCTGGTTCTCCCTCCCCTGACGAGGCCCTCCATCCGGCGCTTCGCCAAGCATACGCACATCAATTTCCTCTCCCATGCATACTCTATTGCAAATTTTGCAGTTGCACATCAATTTATTCTCCCATGCATACCGTATTCCAAACGGCCGCATTCATGTGGCTTTTTCCCCGCTACAGGCACGAATTCGCTGGGCTTGCACATTTCTTCTGTGGCGCCTTTCTTCGCGTCTTTGGTAAGCTGCCTGCGAACCCTCCACGAACATCTATCGGTGCCTCTTTGAAGTGCATCCCCTGGCTGCACCCGCCTTTGCCGAAGGGTAGACGGGCATACGACGCAACATGTCTGTGCAGGGGCCATTGAAGCGGCAAATCCAGTTTGTTCCTAGTCGTTGGCGCATGCATATGTACTGGCTGTGTGAGAGATGACGCGCGCGCATGTCCAGCAGCAACACCCCCGGGCTGGTGTGCGCTGTACTGGAAAGCATTCCAGATCATCTCGATGGACAGTGGACGCATGTCTTTCATATTTTCCAGTGCTCATGCAGCTTTTCTCCCTGAAACGCGCGTCTTTTGAGGTCTCATTTCTCTCTGTCTCTCTTTGTGATCATCGCCCTCACAGGCGTCGTGCGCACGCAGAACATCTTCTGGGACGGCCGCTATCGCGAGGGGCCTGACGCCTTTGAATGCAAGAATATCGTTGCAAATCATGTGTCTTGCATGGTAAAGTCTGCATTAAGAACCCTGGTTTGGCACAGAACGGACGCCACAGCCTGCACACACACGTGCAGGGGGTGTCGAGGGGAGGGTTAGCTGTAGCGCAGGCCTGTCTAGTCACAGCGAATAGCGACATGGTAGGGACGGGGGGAAGGGAGAAAGGGAGGGAGGCACAGGATGCGCGGCGAAGCGGCTGCAAAGCCGCATGCCGTCGTGTTCGTAGCAACAACAGCAACAGCGGCGCTCGCTAGAAACTTGGTGAAACGGCTGCCTGTGCGGTGGGTGCGTACTCAGGACATAATGTTCTTCCTGACGCAGGCATACACCTCATTCGTCTGCAAAGTGCCTCTCACAACTGCCTGGCTGCTCGCTGTTGTTGTGGCTGTCTTGTCTTATCCGCACGTTGCTGCTGCTTCGTATGCGACGGTTGGGGCGGCTGGTGCTGCTGCAACTCTCCTTGCTGCTGCAGCGTCTTTTTCCAGCTGCTGCACAGGCAGCTATACCTTAAGAAACGTAAGACGGCGTCGTGTGTGTCTCTGCTTTGTTAAGGCTTCTATCCGGCATACACTATTTATCTCATGGCCTGCACGCTTTCTTCGGTGCATCTTTGTTGACAGAGACAGCGAAGAAGACAGGCAAGCTGCTAGGGCAGCAGCCGCCACTGCTGCTGCTGCCACCGCTGCAGCGGAGTTTGCCGACAAGCGGCACCACCTTGCTGCCGTTTCAGCTGCTTCTTGGGTTTCTCAAAGGTGACAATACGGCTGCATGCGGTGCGGCTGTTGCTGCAGACATAAAGCCCTTGAGGCCTTGATCGAGAGGATGACGCGCGGTCCATCTGACCCCTTCTCCAACCCAATCGTTGTTTTTCCGGAAGGTAATTGCTCTCTACACGTATTATAGGTGAATTAATGTATTTATTGATACTGTAGGCCTGCATGTACAGAGGCACTGGCGACGAGCAGCTTTGTCAAGGCTGTGTGTACACTTAGGTTGTGGCGCTGTCTTAGGTTGGGTGCGGTGTGCATATGCCTCAGGCACAACAACCAATGGCCGCTGTTTGATTCGCTTTCGTCGTGGAGCATTCGCTGCTTTGCAGCCCGTGCAGCCTTGTGTCTTGATCTATACACCGGGGTGCTTGCACTTGGCGTACGAGGTCATACCGTCTGCATATTTCATGTCGCTCGCCCTCTCTGCATGGGTATGGACGTTTGTTGGGTGGGGGGTGCGGGGGGGGGCTGGCGACCGCTACACATGCTGCGCGGCTGCTAGGCGCATGACGCAGGAGCAGCTGCTGCATCTAGGGGGGTAGGGAAGCTAAAGAAACGCAGTGGGGCAGACTCTCGGGGGAGAGGAAGGGATGCCCGGGTTGAGCGTAGAGGTGTAGAGCTCTGCTGTGACTGATGATGCTGCAGCCTGCCAGTGAGCTGCGGGCTTACTGGCTGCCCCCAATGGGGCCGCCTCCTGCAGAGCAGTTTGCCTCAGAAGACGAGCGCGTGAACGCCTTCGCATGCCAAGTCAGTTCTATCGCCACGTGCCGTTTAGCCCTGCTGCCGGAGTACACTGCAAGTTGCCTCGCCGCTGGCGCTGCTTTTTGCTACTGCTGCTCCCTCATTTGACCTGTCTGCACTGCATACAACCGTTCTTTATGCCGTGGGGGCGTTCAGGTGCGAAATGCCATGTGGAAGGTTCTGAAGGAGAAGCACTATGCCGCCGCAAAGTGAGGCGTATGCACTATATGCTCTCGTCTCAGCTTCTCTGTGCCTCTCTTTCTGCTTTGCTTGCGCGTTTGCGGCATTCATGTATAGACCCGTTTATAATGGCGGCCTCCGGGAACCACCCGCCGGCTCCCCCTCCCCCTGATCTGTAGCTGCGCGGAAGCTAGAAGCAACAGCAACCAGGCGATGCATGAAAGCCACAGGCAGCGCACACGCAGTGACGCAGCAGCAGCAGCGAGAGCGATGCCGTATTGCGGTGCTGTGTCTTCAGGTTTGAGGGTTCGGAATGTTCGGACACGTGGGATGGCAATGGAAGAATTCGGCGAGAATGCATTAATGCCCTTTTCCGCTCTCGGACGGAAGAGATGATGACCAAAAAGCATTCGTGAAGTATACCGCTTTGCCGCCAGAGGCACCGACTGACATCACTAACAGGTGACCGGGACGGCAGTTGCGAGGGATGTCTTCGACGCATGGAAGCTCTATCATCGGGGTTGCTTGCCTCCAGAGTTGGGTGGACCTCTCACCCACTGCTGCTGTACGCTGCCGCTGCAAGTGCAGAATTTACTTTGTTTTCTCTCCCCTGTACATTCGGGGGGTTCGCCCGCCTGTACAATGTGATGATCCGCCGTGTTTTAATTTCCTTGCCTTTTGTATGCGCCACCTTTTCGTTCGTTGCGCACTGTGTTGCGTGCCGTTTCTCGGCGTGCAATCCACTTGAAGAAGGGTGCAAACTTGCACACATTAATATGTTTACATCTATGCGTGGACCGAGTTGGTGCCACGCACAGAAACGGAGACGCACGCGCGAGCTGTGAAGCCATACATTTGGGTGGTTAAGAAGCTAGCATTGGCATGCAAAGAAATCCTGGATGGGTGCTTGTCCAGCTACGGCCTGGCTAATTATGCAGGCATGGGTTGTCTTTTGTCAATGGGCCGCTTGGTCAGCGCCCATGAAGCTTCGCGATGAGGCTGCATCTCGGCAGCGCCTGCACCAGCAGCACTAGTAGCAGCATGGACAGCAGCAGCGTCCATGTGTGCCACTGAGGTTCTCGCTTGCACGTTGCTTCGACTAGTTTCCCTGCCTGCCGTTCCCTTCCTTCGCCTCGCATTCGACTAAGAGTCGGTGTAGCTAGGCAGCGTGGTCTATGCTGTACGCAAGCATACTCTAAATAAACCAGGCAAAGCTTAATCTGCCTTCTTCCCCCAAAAGGGGGGAGGGGCACATAACAATTCAGTTGCAGTGGCAACTGGCTAGTTCTTTGGAGGCGCTGGCTGGTTGCCTCTTTACGGAGATCACTTCCAGCAAGCGCTTTTTCTCAGTTGCTCAGAGACGGGACTGCGCGCTTATAGCAGGCAGGACCTTAAGGCTGTGCTGATACAGGCCACTGAGATCGTGGGAGGCGATGCATGCGAGGGAGAAGCTCTCAGCAGCTATTAGCGGCGGAGCCTCTTGCAGTAGCCGAGCGCCCGGCAGCACTTCCAATAGATCTCCAGTAAACAGATGTTGCTGCTGCCCGAGATCTACATATACCTCTCGCACTCCCGCGTGGTGCAGCGCGACCCGCGTGTCGCCTTCGGAAGCGACAAGGACCGTCCGAGAAAGAATCTGAGGAGCGGCAAACAAGCAGCAAGAAATAGATGCATGCCTTTGCATGCACATACGGCGTGCATGTGTGCATTCATACGCGGGTGTGCGTGTATATTTCATGCATGCCTGCATGCAACCTGCTGCATTGGGGGCCTGACCGCCTCAAGGTCCAATTGGCTGTAATCCAATCCGAGAGGAGCTTTGGGTAGGGGGCCTTCCGGGGGGGAAAGGACTGCAGCATCGGCAAAAGCGCGCGTCTCCGCAGACACGGCGGTACCGGCAGAAGCAGCAGCAGCAGCAACGCGCGACAAGAAGAAGGATACTTCCCTCAGGATGTTCCGTTGCCGCAGAGACAGGCGCTGCTGCATGCGCGAGAGCAGCTGCACGGACACGTCGAGGCACTGCAGCAGCTGCCGCTGCAGCTGCAGCGTCTCGTCCACCCCACCTCTGCTGCACAAGAGCGCAGCATACCGCCGGCAAAAGATGACGAATTCAAGACGGGTGCAACAAAAACAATCATTGTCATAAACTCCTCTCAAAGCAGACCTAGCCGTGGCTGCAACGGAACTGCGCCACATGCGGTCGATACAAACTCGCAGTTCAGAACTGCGGCAGCACCCAATATAGCAGCAGAAGCACACCCCATCAGCTGAAAGAGGCAGAGCGCCGCTGCCTGCGTAAAGTCGCAGATTGCGCTGCAGGGCAGCGATGGCAGCGCAGCTGCCAATTGCGGGGAGAGCAGCACAGCTGCCTGCAGCACATACATGCACAAACACAGAGAGAAACAGAAAAAGGGTAAGCAAGTATGCAAAGACTTTTGCATGCGTATGCATCCGAATCGAAGGCAGCAGACAGTTCCGGGTGCAGTGTACAGATATAACCACGAAGCACCGGCAGCAAGAGCCCTTGATGGCACGGTGTCTTTCGCTCTGAGAAGGAATCGTATTCTACCGGGTGGAATATATATACAAAGCAAGAACGCAGTGCAAGGGATGCCTTGGTATCAGCAGCAGCAGCTGTAGCCCTCTGCGTAGTGAGCTCAACTTACGATCACGTGCATTTCGTCGACAGAAAGCAGCGCGAGCAGCAGTGCCACATGGATTACATGGCTTGGTGTGTGTATACACCCCAGCAGGCCCTCAAGCCCCACAAGGCACTCCTTCAGCAACACAGGACTTCGCAGCCTGATACCGAAAGCAGCAGCAGCAGTTGCATATCACCCCTTCTTTAGTGCCCGCCAATAACACCTGTTGACAATAGGGTGGCGATATGAGGGCTGTTGCTTGCTTGCGCTGTTTTTTGTTTATCCCCCCCCCTCCTGCTGCCTTTTCTACCTGAATTTATACTGGAGGTGCAGGAGCCTGCCAAGGCCCTCCCAGGTCGTGCATGCCTTCGGTGCCCTCTGCAACAACTCCTCACTGCAGCCAGTAGCAGCAACACCAGCGGCAGGAGGCCATACGCAGAGCTGCCGCATCTTTTGCATGCCGATACAGAGGGGGCACCGTTGCAGGCAGACAACAAGGAAGCCAGCAAGGAGATAGGATAATGGCGAGACTATGCTGGTGTAGCAGAACAACCGAAAGACTTCGATGGCAATGCAGCAGCAGAAACGCACGCACTGAAGGGTCTCTGCATAGGCGGGTAACTTGAAACGAACAGCGGCGCATAACCCCAAGATGAGATCCTTCATACCCAATGACTGTGCACGCACACACATATAAACATATATATATACACATCTATATACACACCTACATACACACAGCTCCTCATCCACGTGCAATATTCACGAGCACATGCATTCTGAGATACGCAGAAGCGGGGTATAGTCCGCCAAGGCTTCCCCTTGAGCAAGTCCAATTCCCAAGGCAGCGTCAGCATTGTTGCTCATGCATGCTACGTTCCAAAAGGACAACGTGTGAGCGACCAAGACCGTAATTTCTTCTCGGGTTCGCTTTGCGCGTGCGCTGAGTGCGCCAAGCGCTTTAAAGGCGTCTGTCTGAGTCTATAGAGTCAGGAAGACTTTGTCATACGTCAACTCCGGCGTCGAGACGCTTCGTGAAGAGGGCAAGGAGGTCCGGCTGGGGATGCAGCAGCCGACTCAGGCCCTCTACACAGCTGTACACAGCAGTAGCAACAGCAGAGGCGGCACCTTAGCTGGAGTATGTGCATGGGGGCTGCGGCCGGTTGCAGCAGAAGCAGCAGCAGCAGCTGGACGGGAGATGACGTGCGGGAAGCGCGAAAGAGAAAGAAAGAAAGAAAAGAGAAAGCGCAAGGGGCTGACGCGCTGAACGTACCTAAGAAGCGTGGTTGGTGTGTCTTGGGAGCCACACAGCAGAGCAGCCTGTGTCGCAACCCCGTCTACTAGGAGGAGTGAGCCGGTGATGGGAGCTTGCAAGGCCTTTTCAAGGCTGTGCTTAGCTTCTCCTCCGCGCTGTCCATCGCTGGCTTTATGCACAGCGCTATCCTCCCTCCCCCTTCTCCGTGAGGCAACCCGAAGGCCTTCTCCCGCGAAAAGATCGGAGAGGCAGCAGAGCACGGACGGCAGTGCATGCGACTCCAAGAGATGCAACACTTCCTGCAGCCGCTGCTGCAGCGGCTGCTGCACCTGCACGCATGGATTCGGCAGAACCTACGCCAAGGGGCCTGCATGAGCGTCCAGAAGGAGGCAAGGCCGCACCCAATACGGCCATTGAAGGCACACTGATACAGAGGGAGGCACGGCGAAACAGATAAAAGTCGTTGAACGCAGTAAAGCGAGGCAGGAGACTCGACAAAGGCTCGGAGGCCGCACGCAAAGACGCAGAAGGCCAAGCGGTGGGTAAAAGGCAATGAGAGAAAAGTAGGCAGTGCGCATAGGAAGAGACACACGCGGCACGCGCACATTCGGCAGACAGGCGAAGACGCCAGTTGAGAGATGCACACAGGTAGATACCCACAGCTAGAGCGAGGCCTGTCTGTACAGGACGGGAGTGACAGATATCGACACCGACCGCAGAAAGGAAAGGAGGCCAAGGCGGCCGAGTAAGAGGCGAGAGGCTACGAAGGGAGCTGAAACGAGGGGACAGACAGCGACGGGGAGATGCGCCGATTCTAAAAGTGTCTCGGTATTCTTCTGACCAGAGGATGTGAAAGGCCTAGCTTGGCAAAGATGCTGAGGAGCTCGACTGCTCGCGGAGGGGAGGCCATGCTAAGGAAGTCATCTGCCCTGAAGAGCACGTAAGAGAAGTACAAATGCGTCGGATGCAGGGTCTCTCCTCGTGCCCTCTTGGCTAGCCACAGGTAGGCCTATACAGATGCAGCCTTGTCCGCTGTGCGAGTTTTTCTGTGTTCTGTCGCGGCGCGAGCTTCGTCCATATCTTTGCACCTGGAAGCAACACTCGCTAGGAGCGCTTCATCCGCGTAAGGCGCAGCAGCAAAGAGCCGCAGCAGCTGCAGCAGCTGTAGCCGAAAGAGATCTCCTCCCTTTGCATGCACCAATGAGGACAGTACACCCCACATCCCATGTGGCGGAGCTGCTGTCGCAGCCTGCAGCACAGGCAGTCGCATCAACGGGGGCACTCCTCGTAAGAGCCCCTTGGAGGTTTCCATCGAATGCGCGCGTAAAGAGGCGAGACAAGCAGCAGCAAGTGACTGTGCAGCTAATCAGATCCCTTCAGCGGCAGCTAATAAGATGCCGAGGCAACCAATCCTGTTCTCCAACTGCCTCCACAGTGTGAGGATACCCGTCTTTAGCAGGAGAGGGGAGGGGAAGGGAGGCTGGCGGGAGCGGGGAAGGCTGCCCGTGCCTCGCGCTGCCAGCTGTGTGTCGGAGGTCGCACATGCAAAAAGCCCTTAGCAACAAGTCTTACCGCTTCTGTGCATTTGCGGACGAAAGTGTCGCCTTCCGCCTTGGGTAGCTCTAAAAGGAGCTGTGCCATGGGTGTGTGCAAGCCTCTCCTGCTGCTGGTGTGGCCGAAGGCCAGCGTCTGAAACTGCTGCTGCCGCACACGTGGTGTTATAAGCCCCAAACGAGGCGCTGGGAGCGCAGCTACGCTGCGCTGCCACCCCTGTTGAAAAGGCTTTGAGGCCTCGCTGCCCCCATGCACCTCCGCCCTTGCAATCCTGAACACACTTCCCCCCATGCGCGCCCTGATTTGGCACGCTGTGTGCAGCCCACGCCGCTGTACAAACAGCGGCAGGCACTGCAGGCGGATAGGCCGCCGCACCATCGCGGATGCGCAGCGGCGAGCCTGCCCGCTGATGCCGCAAAAAAGCGTTGCTGCTGTTACTGTTTGTGGGGTTGCTGCGGAGGAGGAGATGGTAGTGGCTGCTGGTAAAGCAGCCTCATCGGTTCAAGTTGGTCCGGGCAGCCTTGGTTTCCTGTTTTGGCGAAAACCGTGTATAAACACCGCTAGGATCCTCGTGGTGGCCTCTCTCCGCTCCTCCCTCAAGGGCCCCCTCAAGGCCGAGCGCCTGACTGGAAATATCCGATCACAACGCCAAGTCAAACCCCGAAATCCAACCTCAAAAAGGCAAACAAAATGGTGAGGAGGCCTTAATGCCAGAAGGAAATGCGTGTGCCGCATGACTGCTGGGAGGAGCGAGTGCTCGAGGGCCTCAGGGGCCCTACATGCAGGAACGCCAATCTCCGCACGGGGTTGTATGTATGTATAAATATGCATATATATGGCCATAAGAAGAGGGAGGCCCACTATAATATTTGGCGCAGTCCGAATACGTCTTTTCCTCTCAAATTCAAAGATGTCCAAAAAAAACAAACGATACAAGGACGCGTTAAGCCGTTAGGCGCGGTCTAGCCGCATTCCGCCAAATCTGAAAACAGTTTTCCTTCCAAACCTACAACAGGACAACAACAGCGTTCCCATGGGTCTTTCCTGCTACTGCTGTACCGGTACTGCGCCGCTCCCCCAATACACCAACTAATGGGTTGTCTCATCACTGCCCCCCCCAGCCTCGCGCCGCAGCGTCCACTAGCACCCTTGCTGCAAAACGGTCTTTGCACGGCCCCACACGAGGACTAAATAAGCTGCCCTCGGAAGGTTCGGCCGCTTTCCAGCCATATCCACTGGGACGCTCCATGCAACGCCAGCGCTCCATTTTCATTGCAAGACCACTGCCACGGTTAACCCCCAGCGGGGGTCACCCATGTTACTGGTGCTGTTTCCCTTTGTTGCCGGTATAGCTACCACTCTGCTTCGCTAAATTGTTCCTGCCACCACTGTGTGCTCCTGCTGCCTCGAAACTGCCCCTCTTCTGCCTAGTATCATCCCGTCGTCGCTACCTCCTGATGAACTGCTTATTGCAAAGTACTGCACAACGCGCATGCATGGACGCGCTCACATGCAAACAGACACGCACAGTCTGCCCGCTTATTGTAAATCACACTCTTAGGAGTACAGCAGACGCATTAGGGTCCTTATGATGGAAAACACAAATGCCCGGAGGCTCCGGCACCGGCCGCCACAACAGAAAAACCAAAGTAGGAGAAACCCCGGAAGGGCCCCTACCACGGAGGCCCTAGAAAACTCCCCGCAGTAAGGTTGTGCATCCTAGTAGGCCCATTTAACTTTTTTTTGAGCAGGAGCGCCCCTTCTTTGAGCTGCATAGAGAGGGAGAAAGAGAAAAAATTATCGCTGAGGGAGACGTGAAAGCCCCTTCTGCTACCGGTCCGAAGACACACACACAGAGAGACGCCGAAGACAGTCTTCCGGCTTCTGCATCATCATCAGATACCTCTGCAAAACCAACAGCTGCGGGTGTTGCTCTTGCCACCATTCTCATGCCGCCCCCGTACAGAGAAGGCAAAGGATGGGACCCCTCGCCCCCTCCACGTTACGCGTCTTCGCACCACCGATTCTCCTCCCGTATCTTCGTACAAAAAGCGCATGCAACAATACAACAACCAGAACCCATGTAGCCTGAACGCACGCTAAATCGAGGAGTTGAAACAAAGTTTATGAGGCAGACAGCAGCAGCAGCAATTCAGCGAAGCCTAGCACACCTGTGCCTCTTCTTCTGGAGTAAAGTCATTAACAATATTGAACTCTCTACGAATTTCTTCTGGACTGCGGCCTGCAGACGCATTGTGTTACCCGACAGCACGCTACATGCATGCGTGCTGTTCGCGAAAACGGCGCAAGAGACCAACAGAAGCAGCATCCAACGGCCTTCATACCTACCTTTGATCATAGAGGCAACCTTTGCTGAGGTAAGCAGAAGGAGGGACGGGATATTCAGGTAGTCCGCCGCCAGCAACAAATCAAACAAGACCGTCTGCTCGACGTTTACAAAGTTGAAATCGAACTCTGATACTACCTCAGGAAAGCCATACCCACAAACCACACACACCGCAAGACTTAAATCCTCGTGAAACACGAGGAGAGAGAGGTTCTGGCTGGCACCGTGTGCCATGTGTAGAGACAACTGCTGCCCCAATGGTCTATCCGGTAAGTTCGGTCGTTAGCCTAAACCGTACAGCCTCAACACCCCCCAACCCAGGCTGGCGAGTCTACCTCCGCAAGATTGCTGGTCTTGAGAGGCGTTGGAATGTCTTCTGGGGGGTTGTCATGGTGGTGCGTGCAATACTCAACGACTTTGCGGAGGATGGCGCTGCTGACCTTGGGAAGCGGCACGACATCTGAATCGTCTCCGTCTACGAGAAGCGCACAGCGACAAAAAATCGACAGGCAGGCGCTTTGGACACGGAACAAGATAGGGAGAAAATGGGTAAATGCAAAGCATATATGGACTTGGGGAGGAAAATGAGACACGGAGGGGGCGCCAGACAGATGGAGTGCGGATGCGTGCGGAGAGAAAGCAGACAACGCAAACACCAGCCTTCATGTGAATAAAACGCGCGGCAGGCAGGTACTGGGGAATCTACAATAGCCTCAAGGAGCGACTCAATGCACGAAGAAGGCAGGGGCACATAAAGCCCAAATTTCTGCCGTCTCTTTGATCGGGAGGCTCGCTGGGGGGGAAACGTTGGATAGCTCTGGGGGTCCCTAAGAGGAGGGAGGAATGAGGGAGAGGGCCAAGCATCACAACAAAACAGGAGAAAGCAAGCCAACTGCCGGCAGCAATAATTTCCCGTCGCACACAAGGACGCGCACTTTTGCTTCCAACCGCGCCCGCTTTTGCCTTGAATGGGTGCGATGATTCACAGGGCCCTTACCTACCTTCCGTCATTGATTTAACAAGCAAAGATGCGGAGGCAACTTCCCTAGGGACTTTAATTTCCTCCCCTTCGCTTGATACGAGCACCACATACCGTCCCTCAGCCTCCATCTCCCTAATAACTCGAAACCCCGAACCCCTGTATGACGAGCAGAGAGGGCGCAGCACCCGAACACCAGGATCGCAAGTAGAGAGGCGCAGAAGGAGTGTTTAGCAGGATAATTATTAAAGAATACAACTAGGGTGGTAAAAGCCACAGTTGAGAAGCTGCATGCACATGTGTTGATATCCTACGCCATCAAGCATGCACCGCGGCGGGCGTGGTGGTTGCGCGTGCTTGCGTAGCGAGACTAGTGACTTCAAGTGCTTTAAAGAAACGAAGTTGGTTCCTAAGCAAATATAGAACGCTTGATTTTTGGCCTAGAAGACACGCTGCGCAGAGGTTAGCCACGCTGCACGTGACTTGCGCCGGAGCAGAGGTATATATCTCTACACCGCGGCCCCCTTCAGGGCTAACGTTTTCCCCTTCTCGTCGAAAGTGTCGTTCTCAGCCTATTAATTTCTTGGTCTATCTACTATTTCTGTATTCAGAAGCATGATGGGCACTAAGCGCTGGTGCATTAAAGGCGCCCGTATGTTCTTGATGGATGGTGGCTCAGTGTCTTGTAGGCAATGGCTCACTTCAATGCAGCCCTGGCACACTCTCTAGTGCAATTGTACAGGTAATCATAAAGCAACCATATTCTCTGGGCGGCCGCTTCCTAGCGATTCGTTCGTTTGAAGGCAGTTCTTCCATTTCCTGAACCACCAGCCCTCCATTTAGCGTGTTTTCTAACGTTTGAAAGTAGCCTAGGGCCTTGCGAGCACCGGCATAGCCAAGCCACCTATCACCACTCTCTACTGCAACCGTCCGAATCTGGCAGCCGCTAGCTACACACTTGCTCCTCCCAGACGTATTTGGATTCGGGAGATCCCAGGAAACTGTCTCGCCAGGCAGAGAATCAATGCAGATCTACTCTGCACCATAGTAAGGACCTGCCCAGGAGCTCTTCAAAAGAGGTGCTTTTGTATGCAAGGCTTTGCCACCACGGCGCCAGGCAGTCTGCTATGTGTTAACCCGTTGGAACAGGCTTGAAAAGCGCAACTCCTCCATTATTAATACCAGCTTTGCGCTCCTCGCAGAGGCCATGCTACGGTTGCACCTGGTATCTTTCTGATATCAAGTAATTAAGAAACCCTGAATTACTTTCTGACTCTTCTTGATTGGCGATCAGTACAGAACTGAAAATTTGGGTTTGGCTGTTCTCATAGCTCGTTGGTTACACAGTAGAGACAGCTGCCTACATCAAGAATTCATGTTGCGCCGGTACATTAGAGACTATGAGTGCTCTACTTCACGATCGTTGTCAAGTGACTCTTCACTCCAGACTCAATGCACACACCAAAGTAACTTATTGAGTGTATTTAAAGAAATTTCCCGCCTCCCCCTGCATGCACTCCTCCAAGTTGCTGATATGGGGAAGGCACACACACAAACCCACCCACCAACACACAGACACACACACACACAGTTGCGCCTCATCCTACCAAGCTAAAACTGGCCTTAAGAGGTATTATATTTCAACAGGCAATCCTCGTATTCTACCGTATAAAAAGTCTAAACTAAATGAATATAGCTAGTGTAGTGATACGTGAAGCAAGGACAGATGCACATACTACCCAACAACGAACAATGGAATTGAACAGCATGACATTGGAGGCGCCGTCTCTCGCTCTGTCATCCAAATACTGAAGTATGTGAGCCTCTTAAAATCTATTTTCTATGATATTAACTGCCAAGGAACTCCGCCATTGTTCAGGAAAGCTAGCTGTCGAAGAAGTATACCCAGTCCCACCAGGCAGCAGTTAAAACCCGTCATTCGCCTGCTAGTACATGTGCCAAGGACATGTGCTAGAGCTTGCAGAAGACAACTCCTCCCGCACTCCACAACCGAGAGATTTAGGTGCAGCTTTGGCCGCGAAGGAAAAACCTTCAGATGGTGCAGTTCGGACCTCTCTCCCGTTTTTTGTGCGTGCGTAAAACAAGGAGCAGCGGTAACAGATGTCAACGAGACTCTGCATTGGCCCATAAGACTACTATCATCGGGGTTCAACGGCAGCAACCCGTGGAAATTTACATGCACCACATAAATCCAATCGCTGGGAACACTAGCAGCCTTAAAATCAAATAACCTTGAAGCTTTACTCAAGGCCGAACTATGCTTAGAGGTCACCTGAGGGTCTCAAGGCCAAGCCAACCGCATTCGCTACTAAATGTGCCTTTGAGAGGAAATGCGTGGGTGCGCAAAGGCAGCTGTGTTGTCCGGAAGCGTGGTCTCCGAATGGGCCTAACTGGGCGAGATAGACAGACTACAGCAAGCTCTTTTTAAAGCCGAGCCGGTCAGAGCACACAAGTCAAGAAATTGCTTCTCAGATGATCTCTGGGTCTAAACAGCAAAAAGAGGCATTCTCTAGACAACCGAGGCGTGTCGGTTGCATGCCGGTTGGCATAAAGTTTGTTCCTTAGAGTGCATTTGGATACTAAACCATGCATAGAGTCGGAAACAGCTAAGAGCCAGGTCTACCGGTGTGGCCTTGAATGTTCACTACTGAGATGTAGTCGACGCTGGAAACCCCTCGAACGAAACACCGCGTCCTGCTCCTTGCGTACAACATTGACCCCTATCAGAAGAAAAATTTATTGGCAGAAGCGCATAGAGCCCGAAGCACCTAAGTGGTCCGTTCATACAGCAAATACAGCACTAGTCTCCGTTGTTATGCGGCTGCACCTGGCACACCCTAAAGGGCCACTATGTGGAGTAGGAGCAACAGCTGATATTCGTGCATCTTTAGGAAGCATCTCAATGTATAATCCTAGGAAGTACGCCCAAACAGAGGTAAAAACCCTGTGAAACCCCTGCACTCTAATGCATGTCTTGGGGGAGGCCCCCACCAGGGCCCCCAAGGCCCCGAGGGGCCCACTGCAGCGAAAGGGGGTTTGTTGTGGGACCCTATCACCTTGATTGTAGGCCATCCAGCCAAATGAAAGCATCTTTGGATATTTCATGGCTGTAGGGCCCGAATTCTGGGAGCTGGGTGCTTTTTCGCCGACTGTTCCTGGCGCTGGCTTGTACGAGCCACTGGTTCCCCCTTCTGCAGATCTTCCAGAGATTGTAACGTACAGCTTGGCACTTTAGGGTTGAGGCTTACAGGCAGGGGTACACGGCGTGTTGCTGAGGGCATGCGGCTTCCTGCCTCGATGCAGGAGAGCTAGGGTTGCACGGCCCGTATGTCCAACCCACAAGAGGGAGAGTGCGGGAGGGCCCCCGGGGACTCGGGGCCCCGTGGGGGCCCCTCTGAGGGGGCCCTTGCGGGGCCTTCTCGTGGATCCGCCGCCTTAAGTGGAGAGGACCTCTCCACAGCCTACAACCTGGGTCTGCGAAACAACAGCGAGCTGACGCAGCAGCTCCTTTTGGATCAGGCAAGCTTGAAGCCCTCTGCAAATGGGTGTGGTAGCGGCTGAGGTGTTGATGCAAGAGCTAAGGGTAGAGGGTTCTAGGTTTGTGTGCAGGGCTGGTCAAGAGAGAAGATCGTGGCTGTCTTTAACCGTCTAAACGAAGCGCGGGCCGGCATCATCCGCAAGAAAGGAGACGGTACGCTTGGCTCTCAGAGCAAGGTGCTTCAAGGCGCCTCGTCCTGCTCCTCTTTTCGACTGGCTTTTAATCCCCGCAACAGCGTCGCGCGCGGCCCCGGAGTCTTTCAGAGACAGTACAAAACACCGGGTGTCCCCCTCCACACGCCCCGCCCCCCCCCTCCTCCACCCCCCTGCACCACACCGTCCCATCCACCGCCCCCCCACCTACTGTCTCGCCCGCCCCGCCGGCCGGCTCTCCAGCCGGCTCCGCTCTGGTCGTGTCCGGGGCGCACTACCCGTCTCTCCCCCCTCCCTCTTATTCTTCTTCCCTCTTACGTTCCATCTCCCCCACCCCCCTC